GGACCCCCCCCCACCAGCGGCGGCGGCAGCAGCGGGAGCAGCAGCAGCAGTGGGAGCGGGAGCAAACTTTTCCCCCAGGAAACGAGGATCAGGTGAGGAAACCCCTCCCACCCACAGGGAGGAGAAATGACTGGTTAAATATTACTGACATTAAATTCCTCAGTGGACACTTGAACTTTAGCGTGACCGTGTAGAGATAGTATTCACGTATTCCCCAGTGGCACAGATCTATTATTTACACATCTATACAGAACAGCCTTTAAATGTTTTTATGAACAAATTCAGAGGAAAGTGGAAGCAGTCAGGGTTTCTTTAGTGGCAGGGTCAGAATGTAGAGGTCATACAGGTAACTTCCTGGGTGTTTCCTCAGTCACCAGGTTAAACACTCAGCTATGTTATAGCTGTCAAGACAGGGTGTAAAAAAGGCAAGTCAGTTTTATTTGTATAGCCCAAAGTCTCAATTGACTTTATAGTTGCAAAATTAGAATAAAAATGACAATCTCCCACCCTGAAGAACTTGCAGGGAAGAAAATATGTACAGGATATACTGAGTTTGAACTAACAATACAAAGTGATGCAGAGTTTTATAAGTTTTATGTGAAAACTGATGCGTGGGGCGCGCGCAACGGTAGTGAAAAGAACAATAGCAAATGGTAGAATGGGCGACAACAGCAGTTGTCGCCCTGTCATGTTGAAGCGTGAGCTCCGTGTGGCTGATAATAAAGACCCCAACTTCACTGTTTCTGTTTACCTCTGCTGCGGATAAGCACAAAGTGAAGGGAGTTAGCCCCAGAGCTAATGTTAGCTTCAGCCCTGGAGCAGATCACTAAGTCTCCCCTGTGCATTCCACCTACAGTCGGGGCGCCGAAGCAGGAAAGAGCTAACGTGTAACCAGCCGTGTTACAGGCACTGTTTGGAAAAAAAATGTATTCAATTAAAAGTAAAAAAAAAAATCTTTCTGTGTAAATATCCCATGTTACAACATGGACACCTGCAGCTTATAGAGAAGTGCGGACTATATATGTACAATTTTTTTTTTCTTTTTAAATGAAGTGGGAGCGGCTTATATTCAGGTGCGCTCAACAGTCCGGTAATTACGGTAGGTTATATCACACTCCCAGGTTGACGTCAAAGCCTATGGTGTAAAGCAGTCATTCCCAACCACTGTGTCGCAGCACATTAGAGCCATAACTGTTACTTATTTACTGCTAATAAGTGACCAGCCACATTTTCTGACTGGTCACATTCTGTCTATGTTTGTCTACGGCAGTGACACACAGAATAATTAAATATGTGGCAGCAGACAGTTATAAAAACTAAAAGCGTTTTGTGTGTCTTTCTTTACTTCCTGGCAGGATCGTGTTCAACTAAACAGGCCCAGGAATCACTCCATTTTATTACATATGCTTTTGTAAAGTTTTTGTTTGGTGGTGCGCTGTGGGCTGGTCACCACTACTAGAAAAAGAATTTCACCATTTTGTGTGACCACTCGGATCTTCAAAGTAGGATCCCGGGACACGGACAAACACCGTGTTTTCACTGCAGCACGCGAGGCCGTGCTGTTCCACGAGGGATGATCATGGTCTACAGCTCATCACTGACAGGATCTGAACTCTGGGAATTATCAAGAGATGACAGTCTCCATCACCGAGCCCATTATGTGGTGCCAGCCAGGTCAACTGATACACATCAGAGTCTGCTCTGAGAGTGTGTGTGTGTGTGTGTGTTTTGCCTTACTGTACGGTATCATAATCAGAGCGCAGCATACATTTTTAGTGAGTGAAAAACAACATTAAAATGAGGATTTTTGATGTTGCACGGTGCAGTAAGTAAGGTTGGTGATATAAGTAAGCATGCTTACGGTTGTAGAAGGTCAATTAGGTATAAGGCAGTGGTTCTCAAACTGTGGTATGCGTACCACCAGTGGTACACCAGCGCTCTCTAGTGGTATGCTGGGAAAATTCATATTTTCACATTTACATTTTCTGAAACATACCATGCACAATTAATACAACATTTAAACCTAAACATCTCTCCTATGGTGGAAGCTAACAGTGAAGGCCTACGCTGCTGTATTCTAATGTTGGTCATCACGGTGGTACTCAGAGAGATCAGAGAGTTTTCTCAGCTGGTACAGAGTAGAAAAAGTAGGAGAACCACTGGTATAAGGTATATTAGATCTATGTATTAAGGCAGAGAATTGAAGTCTCTGTGAGGGTTGCAAAAAAAGTTTGGTCATTTTATTTTGGCAGCCATGGTTTTGGAGTTCTTTCAGCCTTTGACACATCAGTCGGGTGTAACTTTACTGTAGTGTGGTATCCAACAATGCTATGTCAATATCGCTGCTCACCTTGAGTATCGTAACAAACCTGCAACAATTTCCCTTTCCATCTTCTTCATTAACGTAAAAACGGTGTTCTAACCACAGCAAACATGATGCTAAGTTTTGAAGTGAGAGGATCCTAACAGGAGGTTGACACCTTCAGTAAGGTAGTAAATCCCTTGGTTCTTGCAAAGTACGTGTTGATCGTTACAACGCAGACATTGTTTCAAGGAGCTAATTGGCTAATCCAACAGTATATCAAATGTCTGCAGCAGGTCTGCACTTGATCTCTGAGGCAACATCTGGACATTCAGGTATAGACACACACAGGAAGCAGTAATGAACAGTTGAGAACCCTTTTCTCTTCATTCTATCCATGCTTTGATGTGTGAGCTGATTCAAACTAACCACAACTAGCAAACTCGGCCAAATAACTAATAAACTGAATTAGAAAAACAATGGTCAAAACAAAAAAAAACTAAACTATAATGGAAATCCAAAGCCATTATTACCATAGTGACGCAATTAAAAAAAAAGACCAATAATTGCTACACCATTTTCACAATCACAGTAGATGAAGAGAAAATCAGGGGAAGAGAAAATAAGTAAGGTTTAGAATGACAAATTACACAATAGAAGAAATGATAAGTAAAAACGGTTGGGGTAGTGCCCTTACCTGACCTTGTGGTTTTCATTAGACTGGTCCCTGTGGGGTCAATGGGGTCAACCCTGACTGGTTCCTTTCACACTGGCATGTTATGTGCTGTCTAGGTTATTGTTTTGGTTGACCATAAACAAATTTAAGGAGAAATTAGTTCCATTAGTAAATGTTGGGGACTTCAGGGTTTCAAGATGCTAACTGTATCTTTTCTACGTATCTGAACCACAGGCAGAATAGTCCAACACAAACACACTCCTGTAATTAGTGTAGAATGGGCTCCTGACACTGAATCGTACAAAAAAAAAAAAAAAAAAAAATCAACCCTCGCTCATTTTATGCCAGCTACCATGTGAAACCACCAGTTGGCCTGCACCGTCCAGCCCTTCTGCTCGCACACAGAGATCTGCTGCAGGAAGTGCTCAGTGGCCTCCACCTCATTCTGTTCTTCCTGCAGCGCCTCCTGCAGGTAGCGAATATCCTCTGCAGCGCCCAGCTGAGACATGCCCGTCAGCAACATGAGAGAGAAGAGAGTGACCAGCAGGCGGGAGTGGGAGCGTAGGGAGAGGTAGGCCTGGGTGCAGGTGTCCTGATGGGAGGAGAAGTCATAGGGCAATAAGTTTATATAAGTTCAATTTTCATTTAGCAATAAAATTCTATTTCAATGTTTATTTTGAACTATAAAGTCCATTGAGACAAATGTGATTTGTGAATTTGGGCTATCCAAATCAAATTGAATTGACTTGAAAAACCTCAGGTGTAGTTTTGTATTACTGGGGTATGATCGCCACCTACTGTTAAGGAGAATAATAGTTGAGATTCTGCTGACATTTTTTCTTGACTCGGCCACATTTCAGTCTTATCACACACACACACACACACACAGTGTGACCTCTTACCCTGAAGCCACTGAAACAGAGACTGTTACGTCCTTTAATCCTGCCCATGACATAGAGGAAGTCAGGTGTAAGGACAAAGGGCACGCGCTCTCTGTTTACGCCCAGGAAGTGCTTCCTGTTGCCCAGAATGTGACCAAAGTCAATGTGGAAGAGGTTTCCTGTGAGAGCAGAAATAATTATCAGTAGTGAAATCTTGATCTTGACTTCATTATTTTTTTCAGGACTCTTTATATATATATTTGAAGAGTCCATTTTTGTCACTGCTGTATTTTCTATAAATACTCATCTGTTTCAGCTTACAGCCCAGCACACCTGCAGGGGTAGGGTGGCTAAGCCCTCCATATGTCTCATGCATGTCATTTGCAGTAAATGATGAAACTGGAGCCTTAACACAAGGTTCAAAGCTTCTTTTCTTTTCTCTAAACCCTGTATATTTCTTTAAGTCAGGAACAATCTGCATTAAAGTTGTTTTATAATACGTTTGTAACATGCTATGTTAAGAAAATGCTAACTGCTGTTTAAAAGAAGGAAACCTTTGACAGAAACAAAAATTTCTATATTTAAAATTAAAAACATACATACCTGACATATACAAACTGGGCCTGGGCAAATGAATGTGTTATGATTGCATTAACTCATTAATTAATTGATGACAACAACTATTTGATTATGTGTTAACACTGTTTTTTATGATTCATTTTATTATTGTAAACAAATGTTGTTCGCTAGGTTTTATTTTGTAAAAGTTTGTTCCATTAGCAGTTAGCACTACAGAGCGCTAACGTTGGCATAACCGGTTTAAACAGCAGCATTAGCTGTTATGGCTGCAGAGCGCTAACTGCTGACTGCTGTTGTAAACACTGGTGAAATCCAGTATAAATGTAAAGTTAACAGACTAAAGCCCTGCAACAGAAAGTCCCAGCTATGAACATTTCTGTGCTTCACCTCACTCAGGGACCGTTGATACCGAGTAAAAGAAACATGTTTCTGCTGTAACCTCAGATCAAATTGCCGGTTATTTTTTATTTAATTGCTACTGTCTGAAGAATGCTGACGTTAAAAGTGTGTATGACCAATGTTATAGCATTTTCTTTTGTAAAGCAGTACATTTAAAAAAGTAAAAGTGCACTACATAGTACCTTTGAATCTGTTATTTGATTTGGTAAAAGTGCACTACAAAGTACCTTTGAATCTGTTATTTGATTTGGCACGATTAATTGCGATTAATCACAAGAGGTCATGCGATTTATTCGTTAGTAAAAGTTTTAATCGTCGCCCAGCCTTAATCAAAATTAAACAGTGTTCGTACCTTGGTCTGTTACCATTATGTTGTCATTGTGTCGATCTCCGATACCTAGGACATACGTGGCCACGCAGTACCCAGCGCAGGACTTCACAAACCGCTCCACTGTTTTGTAGTGCTGAGAAGAAAAGAAAAAGAAAAGATAAAACAGAATCCTGTATGGCATGAATGTATTATGAGAAAGTGAATAAACATGGACTGATGCTTTTAGCTGGTTAACAGAATAATGTCATGCTATAGCAACTCTAAAGCTAATGGACTTCAACAAGGTTCACTCCCTATTGCGTGTTTTTCCCAGCCACTTACTATTTCCTGGAGTGGACACTTTGACTTGAGCCACTCAAAAAGGGCATCATTCCTAAAAGCCCCAGCTGTTCCTCTGTGGGTTCTCTGCACTGCAGCAATAGTCGCTGCGTTTCTCACGATCTCAATCATACCTGGTTTGGCAAACGTATGGATACAAAAAAAAAACCAAAACATCAAGATGTTTTATAAATTTGTGTTGTTAAAAGTCAGCAAAAAGTTGAATCTGACAAAGATTTCAACAGTGCTGTGAGAAGCTGGGTGCACAGAGACCTATGTTGTGTCCAGTGGAGATGCAGCCATACGGTATGAGGTTCAGATCCAGGGATTTTTCCTGCCAGATTGAGTCCATCACCACCAACGTCTGAACAGAAGTACAGTATACACACACTCTTTAAATATTTTTTCTTTAATCAACACTTGTTAAAAAATGCTCCTCGACATTTTCTGACCTGAATGACCAGCATGTCTTGTCTCAGGTCGTCTCCTTCTTTAAAAATGATTCCCACAGACGTGGTTGAGCTGGGCGAGGGCATGTGAGAGAACTCCAACCACAGAGGCTTCTTTTTCGACGCCATCACTTTGCACTTATCGATCTGTGTGAGAACAGTGCAACGACAAATCGTGATGTCCGATATTATCGAGTGACCGATATATTATATATTAACATATCATGTAATATGTGTAAGAATCGTTATCGGTTTTTCCTCCGATAATGAAAACCCCGTTAACGCAATACCTGGGTTTCGCTAAATTATGTGTGCCCTAAAAATAGTTTTAGGGATAAACGGCTGTATATTAAAGTGAAAGTCACTAGATGGCAGCATTGCAGCTCATTTAATTGATCTCAAACTCATACAGTTGTTTGTTAAGATAATTAAATATTACCAGGCCTATATTGGTATTGATTGACATCAGAATCGGAAATGAAGTGTTTGGAAAGTATCAGAATATCGGACATCCCTTAAAAAAGAGATCTGTTTAAAATGACTTTGGAAGAATATCCCACTCTTTGCACGTATTTTCCTCTTACCAGAATTCTTCCTGCTTTGACGCGAGGGTCAAATGGTAGCAGGAACTCATCAGGCAGGCTACAGTTCCTCAGAAGTTCCTGAAGCTTGAGTGAGGCTGTGAAGTGAAGTGAAGAAACAAATTGCAAAGGAGTAAATAAAATGAAAGTAAATTATGTGTCTGTGACATTGTTTGTTTTAATATATATAGAAAACCACTGAAAAAAAAACTTGTTGCAGAGGATATAGGCAGAGCTACGTGTACGTACTAGCTGTTGATCAAGAGCAACCCAAACACCCTCAATTACCTACATCATAATCATATCTAGCAAATCCCTTTGGCATAGTTCATCCATATATTGAGACAACAAGGTTATGATGAAATGACCAACCTATAGGAGCAGAGTCATTCCTGTCAGGGAAGAGTTTTTTGATTTTGATAGCAACCTCTTCTAGAGCCACCACAGCTTTGACCTGTTGGGTGAAGCTGTTGAGCATGGCCTGTCCACAGCCCAGGAGGTAGGCCTCCAGAATCACAGCCATGCGCTGGCGGAAATAAGGGCAGCCAGCCACCTCGCTGCGGACATACCAGAAGAAGAAGTGACCAATTCTCTTGCTCTGCAGGAAAGAAGTCGGTGTAGATTTCAACAACAGTGAAGTAAAGTTGCAGGCTAACATGCAGGTTTTATGTTGGACAATCGTGTGGGACTCACTCGTAAAGCTCTCTGAATGAGGAACCGGGCAAGAAAGCTGTCATGGTAAGGCTCCACCTTCAGGGTCTAAATTAAAAAAAAAATAAAATTAAATAATATATACCCACTGTTAATAATTTCTTCTGAAAGACTTACCTGCACCAGCTGCAGCAAATATCTCAGCACATCATCATTGGACAAGCTTTCTAGTCTCTTGACAGCGAGTCTCCTGACCATCTCATCGGCAAAATCAATGCTCAACAGTTCCAGGGCCACTGTAATGTCTAGCTCTGCAGGATCCCAGTTTCCCAGCAGCCAGTGGACATCGTCCACCACCCTGCGATTCATCCAGTCCACATTGCTTAGGTACTGGGGCAGATTGGAGGCGTAGCGGATGCTCTCCTCCCTGAACCTTTTCATGCAGGGTGTCTTAGTGCTGGCAAGAGGAGACGAGGACCTGATGGGTCTCATCCCAACTGACAAGCCCTGGAGAGGTAAGGAAGGGGAATCTGGGCTGGACAGGGTGGGACTGAATGAAGGGGGAGACAAAGGTGAATCAAAAGAAGAAGAGAGGCTTGAGGTGGTTGGGTCAGAACTTTCGGAGGAACTGAAGCTGTTTGGCAGCACCACAGGAAAGCTGTAGCGGTCAAGGAAAAAACTGACGGCCATGGAGTTTGCCACATCTGGGTTCGTTGCAGAGGAGAGTTTGTCTGCTTGGTATGTGATAGCTTCTTCCTCTAGACTGGGGTAGGCCCACATGTGCAGAGTGTGAGAGCCTTGGCTCAGAACAGATCTGTGGATTTGACCATAAGTAACACAAGGAAAGCACAGATTAGAAATAGTTTTCTAAATTTGCAGCAAAAACTTTTCTTTTTTTTCTTTTATTTGGAAGAATAATTTCCAAGTGCCACTTGTGAGTTTTCCTGATGTAGACTTCGCAAAAACATACAAACTTACCTGTGGTCAATAAGAATAAGGTTAACGAAGTAGAGAACCTTTCCTTCCCCTGAGTCTTTGGTCATGGGGGACACTTCAGGACCACAGGCTGTGATGGTCAAACCCAGCTTAGCCCCTCGAGGCAAGTCCCTAAGAAGAATATCAAACTCCAGCCATTCATTCCATAAAACTTCATCGGCAAAGGCCTTGGGGGTGGAGGTCACCGATGAGAGAACTTTTTTGCCGTAAAGTATGGAAGCTTCCACGTAAACGGTCTGAGGGCATTTTATTGGCAGATTTAGGATGTCGAAGCCCAGCAGTTTGAGTCGCAGTTTTCTGTTGCAGTCCCACAAAGATATCATAAAGATGTCGTCCAAATCTTTCCCTTCCAAGCAGAGATCCTCATGGGAACTAAATTTTCCACTAAAGCCATCGACCAGTGGCCAGTCCACAAACTTGACCGTATCTTCAGCGAGCTGTGATATGTGCACCACAGACAGGTGGAAGTCTAGATTGGTTTTCAAGCAGTGACGAACCCAGAGGAAATCGATGAGACAGTGATCTCCAGATATAAACTCCTCCCTTCCTGTGACCTTTAACACAAGATCATCGGAAGAATCCACTTCAAGGCCCTGGTCTAGTGCGACTTTTCCAAAGAACTGGAAGAGAATGTCAGGCTTTGCGCTAAAATCGACCTCGAAGCTGAAGCTGATCTTGTTCATGTAGTGGAGGTAGACAGGAAGCTTCCTGTTCAGCTGCTCCTGCAGTTCTTTAGGAATTGGTGCCAACGTAATCCATGGTTCTGTGGCGTACGTCTTAGCATCGCGATTGCTCAACTCTTGTCTTCTTGGAGAGGCCAGTTTCCTGCGGGTGAAGGTGAACTCGCCCAGTCTATCGGACGCCTCTTTCTCCAAGTCGTGACCAATCAGGTAGGCCAGACACTGCTGCTGCTTCTTCCCCTCCTCGGACTCCACCGCCAAAGGAGGTTTGAGCACAATGTGTGCTGTCAAATGCCCTGATTCATCACGTGTCCATGGAATGTCCAACGTTCTGACCACCTGACAGTCGTCGTAGGCCTCATACCAGTCTCCTCCCCTTTCATATAGCAAAGAGTATCTCTCTGGGTCAAGTATTGCAAAAGGATCTGAATGGCAGTTTTTTTCTTGGAACTAAACAGAGAAACAATATTTAATGAGATGTTTCAGTCACTGAAAACAATCTGGAGAATGACTTCCTCTTTATGAGGATTACTGCAGCATAAATTCTGCAAATGTGATTTGGTTTAAGATTTAAGCAAACTATCTTTTACTTGTTCTCTGAACAATTTCTATCAAATAATGTTTTTTTTTTTCCTTTAGCCATTTTGACTGATATTACAGAATAGTAAGGATGTAACGATGCATCATGAATCGAATATAAATCAATTAAAATGTGTGATGATTCACATTGATTTTATTCTGTTATTTAACATCATCTTTTTAGGCTCCTGCAGACCACGCAAAGTAACTTGGCGGGCCACATTTAGCCTGCAGGCCTTGAGTTTGACACACATGGTTTATGAGGGACACAAAATCATTTCAGTTGTTGATGGTATTTTGCATAGTTCTTAAAAATCAATAAAGGATCATTGTATTTGGTCATAAATTGTTTCATAAACAAATGTGATAAAATTGTATCGTGATAAAGAAAAATTGTGATCCTTATCGTACTGTGAGTTGAGTGTATCATTACACCCCTACTGAATAGTTAAATTAGCAATGGGCTACTAACAGGTTTTGTTGTGGTGACTCTGCAAAGGTGACCTGACAAAGGATTTAGCACTAATGAATGAATGAATGAGTTCATGTTTTTGGTTCTTTTTATATAGTACTACCTTGTAGACTAATCCTGGTTATCTTTCATTCCTGTTTTTTCTACATTTAAGATAATACTAAACAATTATCTAAAAAAATCAGCTACGAAAATACACAATATTGATTTGTTTACCTGCATACAGATGTGGAGGCGCAGCTGGTAAATGCTGCACTGAGCTGGTAAAACGACGGACACCGACTCATATTCCGCATCGGCGCTTAAAGCCTCGTCGCTGCTCAGTGACAGACCACCTCCAGGTTTGAAGTCGCAGATAAACTTTAGAATGTTCTCAGAGCGGCTCTGAGTGGCCGTGCCTAAAACAGGATCCGCAGCACATGGAGTTCCAGACTGATTCAGATTCGGTTCTGAGTCCAAAGACATGTCTAAGCTTCTGAAGGTCAACCTAAAGGTAAAATTGATTTGTATGTGCTCAAAAAGCATTATACTGTGATGAGATTGCAAATGTGCCAATAAAGCAGAAATACCTTTTGTTGTTGTGTGCTGCTGCTCCTAGGTGTTCATACCAAGCCTGCTACATTAGTCTACCTGTGCGACTGTGTAACACTCTGTTCTCCTTTTGTGATCACTTCCTGCACTTCCTCATTCTTTTGTTCCACCTATTGTCAAACACCAAAAATAGACACAAACTTTATCTAGCTTTAACTGACTTCCTTGTTCCTTATTCTTGTAAATAGATGAGACAATTTAATGCTGATGTGATTTTTACCGGCAGTTTCAGTGAAATAATTCGACAAAAGCTCTAAACTTATATGAAGAGTTTTTCCTCTATAAAATCAGTAAGTTAGACTACATTTAAACTTTTGTGCTACAACTTATTCAAGCATATGAAACCTGTTTTGCTAGTTTGCCAGAGTCATTTACTGAAGAGGAAGCAGACTCACTTCACTATTACCTCATTGAACATAGTTTAACCTAAAGCACAAATCTGGAGATTTAACACCTGCATTCTCCACATATAAGAACTCAAATTACTTCTTTTTTTTTTACTGAATCACTCTGATTACTTGTGTCTTTGTAGTTGTAACACTGACACTTGCTGCATCTATTTCAACCAATAGCGTCCTAGTGACTGCACGCGTGATTATATTGACTTTTCTGACAAAAAGAACATGGGGGGAAAAAAACAACCAGAATTTAAGAAATTATAAATGATATGAAAAATACACATTTACAACAATATATTTTCTGAGAGCTGACTTCCACAACTTTTACATCGCAGCGACAAAACTCCATATACAGCTTTTATATACAGTCTATGGTACAGGTTTACTTTTTACAGTTGTCTGTGCAATGCATTACTTAATGTAGCAAAAAACATTATCCACTTTATGAAAAGTTCACATTAGTTTTCACAATAAAATGTCATCAAAACGCAGAAGAACAAAACAAAACATGTTAGTAGTCTGGTTGTGTGTTTTTCTTTTAAAAAAAACAGTTCTTAGTTAGGCTGTGCCATATTAAGCTAGTTCCAGTAATTACACCAATATAAAGTGAATCAGCAATTATTCAATGGCAATATTGAAAGGTCGAGGCATTCTTACACAAAAACGTAAACAACATATTGCAAACATTTTTTTTAATAGGAAAACACGTTCCTGTAACTTACAACAGTGTATTAGTGACCGCCGGGAAAGTCACGCTGCCCGAGCCCGGTTTGGATCTTCAACGTTTCTCATTCGTATCTCCACCAGACCTCTCTTCTCCGTCCACCACTGAAACAGGCTCCGCAGCGCCTTTCGCATCTCCGCGGACCTCGACAAGTACACCAGTGGGTTGATGCACGGTGGCACAACAAGCAAAATGAGCAGAGTCAGGTGAAACCCCGCTGCGGTGGTCGAGAATGTCGAGCTCCGTTTGACGCTCGCTGCACTGGCGGTAGATAGGGACGTGGAGATGGAGGTCAAAGACGAGGACGAGGACGAGGACTCCTGTGCCTCCATGGCCACGGTGCCCTGTATCTCCCACACCGCGTCCGAGGCGGCTTTGGCGAGCAGCGGGAGCAATTGCAAAAACAGCATACAGCAGTAGTACAACACGGTCTTCCGCGCCGTGCTGTTGGTGGTGTTGAACGGGATAACCGCGTTACGCGCGTCCTGGTACATCCTCAGGTACGAAAAGGCGTAGACGACGAGGCACAGCAGCAACGTGACCAATCCGACAACTTTGCGGAAAATCGCCGATGCCCGGGGAAAGCCCATGTGTTGCTCCATCACGTCCGGTTCGCACAGCAGCCCCCTGGTGTCTCGTCCGTTTCCTTGGGTTCGACCCGTGTGCAACAGCACCACGTTGGTGCAGGCGACGGAGATGGAGAAAAGCCAGATGAAGCTCAGTGTAAGCCGCAGACGCACTTTGGTGATGATGACCAAGTAGTGAATGGCGTGGCACACGTACAAGTAGCGCTCCAACGCCATGCAGGTGATGGTCAAAAAACTGGCAAAAATGCTGGCGGTGCCGGCGAAGTACTGAAGGTAACACCAGGCGCTGAACTCCATAGTCCGACGCTGCACCAAGGAGTAGATAACGGCTGGACTGATGGTCGTAGTCTGGATAAGGTCGCTGAGAATCAGATTCTTCAGGAAAGTAAATCGCGGCTCCCAGGACAAATCCTCAGACCTACCGATGCGGAACAGAGTGAATCCGTTCACGACAAAAGAGAAGAGAGTCAGCAGCAAAAAGACGCACACCAGTGCCGGGACCAGTTTAGTGTTGGGCATGATAGACTGAAAGAGGCAGCCGGCCGAGTCCAGGCGGACTTTTACGCGCGGCTCGGTGCCGTTCCCTGCATAGAACCAGTAGCACTGTGCCTCCTCGTTTGTCATGACAAACGCAGTGTTTTAATGTGAAACTGCGGCCAATGGTCTATATAGACACTACCACCGACCACCCCACTCACACACCTCACACTCCCCTAATCCCTATACATATGCACACAGGAGAAGCGTTCAGGTGCTTCACTTAGTGACTGTAATCTTAATTTTTTTATTACTTGGCAGTAGGTGTTGGTAAAGTATTCCCCAGTTATTTAAAAATCACGTATGTCCCGAAATAGATAGTATTCTAATAGATAGAATAGTGTGCATGGCGATACTGATATTCGTCAAATAGTTTCCACTGTCCAAATAGTGTGCATGGCGATACTGATATTCCATTGGATTTACTAGTTTTAATAGTGGACAATGGCTGCACACAATTTATTTGGTTTGCAGCAACCTCAATCACACACAAGTCCAGTTGTTTATTGAAATTCGTTTGAATAAAGTGATATACACTCTGCAACCATTTGACTCCTATGAAATGTCTTTATTTCAAGACCATTTACTCACTTAAATCTAACAATGTGTTATTTTAATATTTCTATGTCAATTCAATATTTTTTTATTATTATTAATAATTATTATTATGCTAACTTGACAGTGACCCATGATAGTTGTGGACCACATATTTCAGGGGAAATAACATTGATAGGATGACAAACAATAAGCAGCTGACAAATGTGTCACCACGCAGCACCACACAGAATATGGCTTTGTTTACATTTACTGGTCCTACGTTCGTTTGTGTTTTTGTTTTTTGAGAACTTTTTACCCTTCATTGTAGAATAGGAACGAGACTCCGACATACAGTTAGTCAAGTACCCTGTATAGCTCCAATGGGTGTTGTAACACTCCAAAACCTCCTGGGTCCTGTCATTGTGACGAGTAATCAAATTCTTGGAATAAACTGACCATTGCAATTGACACCTTTACATTTTTACAGGCCTTGTTCAATGCGTTTACAATTTAGTGTTAAACTGTAGTAGTTCAAAAAGTTCTCACCGTCAATCTTGCAGCTACGTACTTAAGCTTTGTTGCCTTGTCACTTTTGCTTCTCGAACACTCTCGGGAGACTTGTCGAGAACTCCGGAATAACTTTCGTAAACTACTAGTCTACAACGCAACATTTCTGTATAAAATCACTTTTTTTTCAAACATTGTGTATCTTTAGACAAGTTATCATTGTAGGTCTGGTGTGATAGCCTACATACGTTAAAACGCAGAATTCTTTAGATTTTCTCATGTCTGTCCACTTGTTCTGTTTTCTTCTGGGTTAATTGGTTTGTCATTCTCCCCTGTGTCATCTTAATCCCTGTTAATCAGCCTCATTCACCCCACCTGGTGCCCTGGGTGTATATGCAGTAGCTCTCTCCCATCACTGTCTTTGTCAAATCATTGTTGTTCCTGTTTGTTCTTGTCGTTTCTGTTATGGTTGTGTTACTGTTTTCTCCATGTACCTGTACTCTGGGTCTCTTTCTCTGAGTACTTCCCGTTGTACTTCTACTTGTTTTTCCTCTATCCCTGTTTGGCCCATGTTCCTTGAGTTAATACTCAGTTCTGTTTATTTAGCAGTACAGCACCAAAACAAACAAACAAAAACAGTTAAAAACACACAGATGGGTAAAATACAATAAAATAAAGTACAAAACATACAATGAATATTGGAAACCTGGACAGTGGATGTTAGTAGATTAGATTAGTAGGTTAGTGGAAGTAGATAGATAGTGTAATTAGTAGTATTAGTAGATTATTAGTGATCATTGTTGTCGTGTATAGTGTTGTTGATGGCAATCTCAATTATTATTTACTATTATATTTCAATTATACAATTAATTGGCTTCAATTCATTGGTTTATTTGGTTTATTCATATTCCTATATATTTTTTAAATGCACTGAGAAGAAAACAAATCAGGCAAATTAACAATTGACATTTGCCTGACTGGGTAATAAAATATACTGTATACCAATCCAGCGACTATAGTATCTCTGACACGTCGTGCATTTTGTAAGCCACCTGGTGGCGCCAGAGAGAAAGAAAAGATAAGCAGCAGCAAACAGCAAAGTTTCCATACTTTCAGCCCATCTCCATCCGACCTTAACAGAAAAGCAGCATCTTTAGAAAATTTATTTTATGTTAGAAATCGACTTTTAATCAGTGTTTATAATGACAGCTGAATGTGGCTGTCAGTGATGAGAAAAGAACTGAATGATATTAACAATATAGAAACATTAAAAGTCAGCATCCATTGATAATATGGACCATTGTCTGCTGTCAGGGATGTGGACAGATGCCTGAGTTGCCTGCCCCAGTGTGACCCCCCCCCCCCTGCTTGTTGGATTAGTTTATAAGGCAGGTGAGGATGAGGAAGGCTGAGGACAGCTGTTCCTTAAAGTGGCCTCACAATACCATGAAAGGATGCATGATGTCTTCCTTACAAATGGACACACAACATGAAACCAAAGCCTTGGTGTTTGTTAATTACACAGTTTGTTTACAGCAGAGGAGCAGACACAACACAGAGAGTACTCAAAGTGTTACACATGTATGAAAAAGATCGGGTTTCAGAGGCAAATCACGTAGAAAGGGTAATTTTTGTTTTTTTGTTTTTGTTTTTTTCTTCTTATAATGCTCTTAGTTTCAGTTGATTCGTGACACAGCAGCAGTTCCAGGTCTATATATTCTCCTCTCCATTTACTAAGCACTGCTGCAGACTGTACCAATCCTATTTTAAAAAATATATAATTTAACAAATCGTCAGAACCCAATGCTGTCGATATTGCCAGACTCGATACATACATGTAACGCCACATCATCACATATGGCCACATGCTTATTGATACTGTCAAAAGTCAGGTTAAAATAATGTGAACAAACAAACAAAAAAACAAGGAGTGAAAGGAACAAATGTCTATAACTAAACACTTTCTACCCACAAACCAGGAAAACAACAAACAAAAACCAAAACTTAATCCAGAAAAGGCTGTATTTTTCTATTTACATTATTGCTATTTACATACAAATTAAATAGTCACCAAGGGTCACCAAGCACACACCGCTCTACAAGACACTGCCTTTTTTCCGTAGATACGTCTTGCGAACTAGCTATTTACATACAAATTAGTCACCAAAGGTCACCAAGCACACACCGCTCTACAAGACACTGCCTTTTTTCCGTAGATACGTCTTGCGAACTCTGCATACAAAGAAAATCCTTTGATGCAGTAACAATGGAGCCTGCTACTCCAACTCACCATCTTAAACAGTTACATTTCCACGCCTGCAGTGCTTATAGACTCCCAGTAAAATCAATTTCTGCAGGGGTGTGACCTTAGGTCACTTGTCCAATGAGTGTCCAGTCCCTCGTTGCAGTGACTGGACACTCACTGGTCCCTCTGGCTGGGATGGCATCTAGAGAAGCCAAACCTCTTAAACACCAAGGGTCATGCTGTGACGTTCAGTGTTCAACTGTGGAAGTAGTCATACTACTGTCATACCTTACTACTATTCCTCTAAACAGGAATGTATTTTATCAGGCAGTGATACTACAGAAAAGGGGAGAACCAGACTTGTTGAGTCCTGAATGCAGTTCTCTAAGTGCAATATCTACAATATCTAAGTGATAAAAAACCAAAATGTCCAATAGGTTCTTCTACTATTTGGTTTTAGGTCTTGAATTTCAAACCCTAACCTCTTTCTTTTTGTCTCCCCCAACAAGAGTAGAATCCCTTCTTTAAAAAAAACATTGAGGTGTTCAGAGCCTCAGCTGGGGCTGTCAGTCAGACAGCAAACAGGGAACTGAGTGAAGGCGGTGACAAAAGTCAAATGGCATGGAAGCAGAATTCACACTCCCTTCAGTTGGACAGAAGGCACAGGGGTGAAGGCTGTGGCGGTTGAGAGAGGAGTTAGGAAAGAAACAGGAGATGTGACGGCAACAAAATCCAGAGAGTAGAAGGAGGGTGATGAGAACAGAGGAGCAGGAGTGAAGGAGGAGCGGAAAATCTGCAGAATGGAATGAGAGTTGGGAACTCTTCTCAATTTTCACACTGTTTTTTAATGTAGCTGTAAACCTTGAAATGATAGCCATTTTGAAAAAAAAAACATGAATATGAAAATTATATTATTTATTCATCTCAAATTGCGGTTAAAGACAGAAGGTGTCCTTCAGAGCCAGCATTAGGTCCCAATCATGTCTCTTTTTGATATTAGCATTTATATATATATTTATTTATTTATATATATATATATTATATTTATATATTTATATAACCTTTGCATACTTTTAGTTGTATAACGCCACCTGTTTTGCTCTATTTTCTGCTAATTATATTGTCAAGTAGGAGCATCCTGGTTACCTGTAAAAGAGATAAAAGCCTATAAAAGGAATCTCTCTGCCTACATGTATCATTAACCTTACCATAGTTCAGAAAAGTCCCTTATTCCAGGGGTTCCCAACTCCCGGGTCAGGGGCCAGTGCCAGTCCGTAGGTCATTTTGTAACAGGCCACAGTGGGACACAGTGAACCAATGTACTTCAGTTTTAATAGTTTACTTCATTCAAAAATAATCCAGTAATTTCCCTTTACTTTTTTCATTTAAAAATAATCTGTCAATGTTCCAAAACAAGTCATTCAGACTCTGATACTAACAGAATAAAGTTTAAAAGATGTTTTATTTTGAAAATTTTGATCCTTCATGGCTGGTGGTATTACTGGAGTAAGGACTAACACCAGCCGAGGTTGGGGACCACTGCCTTATTATTGGAACTTCACAGTGTGAGTCAGGCTGCCACAGGAGGTGCCATTAGGTATGTGGTATCTCTGGATCTTGGATCTTTTCTGTGTTAAACAGGTGTGATAACTGCTACACTATGGAAGCAAAAACACATGCCCTGTGTGAGGCTTGAACTCACGACCTTCAGATTATGAGACTGACGCGCTGCCTACTGCGCCAACAAGGCACTGGCGGCCAAACCAACGAGGCCTAAATTGACAATAAAAACAATTTCTATGAATTTTTCAACTAAAAACCCTGTTGCTCCAGACTTATATTGTCTCTTGGATGCAATGTCTACTACCTCTGCAGCTACCAGCTGCTGATTGGTCAGATGTTGATTGTTGACAATCATTGTGACAGTGTGTGTGATTACAACTGTCATTACCTTTGCCCTGTGTATCTTACATTGTGTGGCGGTGCATATCAATTACACAATTTGCACATATCGCGGAAAATAGGGTCCTCCGTCCTCATACGTGGGGCACAGTGCGTGTGTTGGGTATAAGGAGGGGCCGTCCAGGCAGCTAATCAAGGCTGTGACCTATCGTGAAAGCTGGGTCCAAACAAAAGGGAATCACATGAACACTATTCATGAAAATTAAAGGATGTTCCCTGTCATAAATGCGTATACATTATATTACTGTGGTTTCCGGACTATTAGTCGCACTATTTTTTATCATTGGCCGGGTTTGCGACGTATACTGAGGTGCGGCTTATATATTAAAATACTGTGTATAATGTCACATGTTCATTATTTTCACACTGACACAATGGCCACTAGGGGGCACTGGTGCGACTTATACTCCGGAGCGATTTATAGTCCAGAAAATACGGTAATTGATTGAAAAAAACAAAGAAATAATCCAAATTATGGGCTGCATAAAAATTAAAAAAATATACCAAAAGTCAAAAGTTTTTTTTTCACATTTTTTTTTTGACCAGAGACGATGATGAAGTGATTAATAGGCATGTGTCTCAGAGCACCACGCCTCCAAGACATCTCTGATTTCATAAATCTGTTACCACATAGTAGCAAGCTTGATGACGGGAAGCCAAAAGATCATGTGTTGATCTGTAAACCAATATGTTTCACTTCTTTTTTTCATCGGCATCAAACAGTAGTTTCCAAGCTAGAACAAATAAGTTTGTGTTGCTTTTTAAACCTCTCACTTATTTATAAAAGCACATTTAGCATATTAACAGTATGGCGCAAAAAAAAATATTTTCGGCAGCGATGTTCCCAGGCTGAATTCCAGCCTAGCACCATGACTGTGTTATTTACTACAGAAACGTTTACATTTGGTAATTAGTATCAGTCTTAATATATAATGCTCGGTTTCTTTGAATTTTCAACAGGCCATGTAGGTTTTCATAAACAAGCGAGGCTTTGTTTCTATGCCGATGAGACAGGACTGGAGGCATAAATAGACTTCCACAGAGAGAGGTGATTAGCCACAGAGCCACACTGCTTAAAATTCCAGACTGTTCAATATCAACGCAGGCCGCAGGGTAACGCGTGTTTCCATCAGCTGAATGAAAAGGAATACTCTGTCATTCACCGTTAGCTTGAATTGATTAGCTGAAACTGTGAGTCCATTACTCTTTGGGTAATAAAGAATGTTGAGTCACAGTAACCTTTCAGCTGGAGTCGGACGTGATCACAAATTCTTCATGTAGAACTGCAGATTTTTTCTACGGTTTGTAAAATAGGGCGTTTGTAGACTAACATTACTTTTTAATTTGGTCCAATTCAAAAACTGCTTCTTATTAGCAATTGTGATACTTTTCAAGTATCACAATTGCTCCTTGGACCAGAATTTGTGTGCACTGATAATTTCTACTGTAAAGAAACGATGTGATTTAATATCATTGTATCAGTAGATTCCATATTAGCAACTTTTTGAAATACATACACAAGTTGACGCGCATTGACAACGTGTGATCCCTTTAAAATGTTTCCTTCTTTCCTCCTGACCGGGTTAGGGTCTATTTTTAATGGAGTGACTTGTGTTTGTTGCACTTGTTGCTGGAGTGAGAAGGCGGTCAGTGAAAGGGTTAAGGATGGCCTCCAGCTGTATGAGATCACAAGAACATTTTCGCACCTCTTAAGTTACAGATGTCACAAGTGCAAGGACAAGTGAGCAGCGGTGAAGACAGGGGTGCAGGCAGATAGATGGGCTCCCAGTCTCCCACAGTTAGTGTTTCTTACCTCTTTAACTTTATCAGGACCAGACCTTCTGAACCAAGTTTCGACAAAGTACAAGCACAAAAAAAAAAAAAAAAAACAAGACAGAAAAAATTATGAACTTTTTTTCCTAATCCTTTTGCTATTTCTGCTCATACAGTATTTTTAATCATTACACTTCCATCATTGTCTGACTTTGGTTCTCTTGGGTATAATTTGTTCCATCATTTCTAGACTGCCTTTGGTTCTCTTGGGTATAATTTGAAGTGTTTTAGCTAACTTGCATTAGTCTTTTAGCTGTTTCCAGTAACTTTGTGCTATTTTAGGGTCAACTGGTGTTTGTTCCCTTCCACCTTTTTCCTGTATTGAGAGTAAATGTGAATTGTGTTAGAGTTGATTGTGAACTGGATATAGAATTACACTGAGCTAGAAGGTTTGGTACTGGGGTTAGCACAATGAAGTCAACGCAGTGTTGAACAAAAATAGCTGTGTAAACCTGTGTGTGTCTGTGTGTGTGTGTGTTCCCGCCCTCTGCTTCTCACACAGTATGTGAAATCAAGTGTCATCTCCAGTGAGATGCCCAGTTGATCTCCAGCCAAAATAACCTTCAGCTGCCCAGTGCTTCTAATGCCTGTATGTATTTTAAATCAATGTCACTCCGCTTGTCTGTTATCTAAATATGGAGGGTCGGAGCGTGGACACACACAAGGGAGGGGTGTCCATCAGGACATTGTACGACGGGCTACAAATTAATGTCCACTTTGATTGGCCGGTTCTGATCACAGGAGGAGGGGGCTGTTGCCCAATCCTGATCATTTTCAGTAAAAGTGAAGCGAGAAGTGCGAAGCCTAGAGAGAAGAGGACTGCCACAGCAGTGAACCTGACACTGTGTTGAAGGAAGGGACACTTTGTCTTTTGTCCAGGCGTCTGTTGTTTTCACCGGTGTCTGTTGTTTCCAGCACAGCCAGCCACCATGGTAAGAAAACCACAGCCAAGAGATGGAGGACGACGTGTAGATTTTCTGCACCTGCAGCTTGGATTTGCTTTTGATATTTACAATATTTATATATTTTTGTTTTCATCAAGTGAGGATTGAACTCCAATTGGCAACAGATTCAGAGTTTTACAGGAGACAAGAGACCCAGCAGATCTTCATCTGCGCCATTTAGCTGGATTATAATACGAGCAGTGTTTTTGGAGGGGTTTAGTTTGAGGTTTACGTATAATTTATCCTCGTCATTTATCCTTTCATTAGCAGGCTGCTCTCGAAAGCCTCCGGGTTTCGACTTGTTTGACTTTGTACTCCATGGACTGAGGGACTGTGGATTTGTCTCAGCTCTAGTGTTCCACCGCCTTGTAGCCAATCTCAGTATGATATGATTGATACTTAGATTGGACAGAGGGACAGAGACAGAGAGCGGTACTAAAGATAGAAAGCTCACAGCAGAGTAAAGTGAGAAGTCGCGCCGTCTTTAGTGTCCTAACTTAGGACGTTCACCTTGAGGGAAAAATCCTCGTCAAAGCCTCTCCCAAATGCCACCTTGAAATGAGATTTAAAGGGAACGTAATTGGCAACCTCACGTGACCCTAGATATTAAAAAAATTGTCAAAATACATATAGTAAAAATAAATATACAGTAACATCCATGTGGTTGGTTGCATTCAAAAATGTTCATATCAAAAGTTAGATTAGTTAAAGATTGTCCATTTTAGTAAAAATCTCAAAAATCAGACAATGGCTAAATGGCTAATTGCTACCCCAAAATTAACTATGGTCGATATTTTTTAAAATTTGAATATAAGATGAAGAAAACCAGAACTACTACAGCTGGCTGGAAGAGGGTTCAGGCAGCGCGGTAACATAGCATTTAGTCAGAAAAAAGAAATACATATATGTTAGCATAGTATATAGCCGTTCTCTCTTATTTGTCCAAAAACAGGCAAAAAAGTTAGTCAAATGTAAGTAGAGTTACATGTTGAGCAATAAAATATTCATAAAGTAGAACAGAAATAACTACAAGTTAGCCAAAAATATGTAAAATAATAGCTATTGAGGTGCTTACGAGAAAGCTAAATGCTAAACCATTCGTAGCAATGCTAGCCAAAAAAAACAACAACAACAACTTCCAAAATAAAGGCATGTTAAAACCTACAAAAAACCTACAAAAAAAGACACCAATAACTGGGCAACAGGACTTGACCTTTGACCTTTCGTTCACCCTTTTTTGTGATATCAAGACAAGAGGTCAATGACATTCACATGAAGCGGTGGTCCACTTTAAGATTCGTCAAGCCTGCGTGCAGACAGCTGAGGGGATTAGACCACATTTCTACTCTACTACTTCTTACTCTATTTTCAGTCTTTGCCCTTTGGTTCAAGTGTAGGTTTACCTTTCTCAACGTTATCACTGCATTATCATTTGTGTATTTCCAAGTTATTACTATCTTTTATGCAGTATTATCTGTATTTTTGACACATACACTCAGCCAGTCGGAGTTAGAAATGTTTGCCGACTCCCAGTGGGAAGTTGTTGTTAACAGAAAGTTCACATGCCTCCATGTTTACATTGGTAGTGAATATTACAATATCATTTTTCTGTAGTAGTATATGGTATGAACATTGTATTGTGTACTGCAGTTACTACAGTTAAACTAAATGTATTTAATAGTTACCTTTATATAAAAGGTGCATTTGGTCCACTCAGTCACAGCTACACCTTATATATGTTCTTGATAATATTTGATAGATAGTACTAGCACAATCACATCCATATTTGATAGTTATTATATTATCACTTCTAATCGTTGGTGCATTACTGCGTTTTGATGTATTCCTATATAGTTTCAACATTTTAACTGCTGGTAATTTATTATTTTATTTGGCCTTCTTTGTTCGTGATTTTCACATTGTATTGTGTGTGCTAAGTTGCTACTATTTTATTAGATGCCATTTCCTCAGTGCAAAAAAATTGTTTATATTTACATGTGCATTTACAGGTCATTTTGGCATGCCTACTAAGTAGACATTAGAGTATTAATACACAAGTACATAGTAGCCTTTACTACACTTTCCCATAGTAACTGTTTGTCTACACTACACTATGAGTGTTTACTACGTTGAATTATGCTTTGTTCTCTAGGCCTGCTTTGATTACATAACTATCAGTGGTCTTAGCTCTATTATCTAATATGTATTTAATGTAAAGTGAGGTTGACTGTGGTATATTGTGCTGATATGAAACAAAACGTTGTCTCTGTTCTTTAGCCCACTGATGCTCAAAGTGACGCTCGCTCCTTCCTGACAGAGGAGATGATTGCAGGCAAGTCATATTTTATCTCCTCTCTGCTCCATGAGTCAAAGCCTGGGTTGATTATATGTAAAAAAAAAAAATTTAAAAAGTACTTCACTTCTGTAAATGTTTTGCTCTAGTGACCTGTTAACTGCTCCCTCTGCATCGACAGACTATACACTTCAACCATGTAATAGCGACATCTAGTGGTAATACTGCAAAGTGCAACTAACTTTTTCCTATCCTGTGTTGTTAGAGTTCAAGGCCGCCTTCGACATGTTCGACACCGACGGTGGCGGTGATATCAGCACCAAGGAGTTGGGTACCGTGATGAGGATGCTGGGTCAGAACCCATCAAGAGAGGAGTTGGACGCCATCATTGAGGAGGTGGATGAAGATGGTGAGATTACACAACAGAAATTATCTGAATGCACTGCTGCGACACATGGAATAGAGAACAGAATGGAATAGAATATTCTATATTCTATACTTTATTGTCATTGTAACACGGGGGTACAACGAAATTGAGGAAAACAAAAAAGACATAGAAAACACAAAAAGGTGCAAAGTAGCGCAGAGCCTCGAGCCGCTACAGTGGACAAACTATGGCTTCATTTCATCCAGGAAAGTGTTGTGAATGTCCGTCATTCACCGGGCGTCTGTCTTACTCATGTGTTATTGCCCTTATTTGGCAGAATGTTAGTGTAATTTATATACAAACTTGCCCAAATTACTTCCAAATTCCTTCAAAACGTTTTTTTTAGTTTTTTAAATACTTTTTATAAATAGTACATGAGACGATATCAATAAATTAATTGTGGCGCAGGATTGATCAAGAATAAATACTTTTTCTCTTTCCTCTTCATGTCTGCAGGCAGCGGTACCATCGACTTTGAGGAGTTCCTGGTCATGATGGTACAACAGTTAAAGGAGGACCAGACTGGAAAAAGTGAAGAGGAGCTGTCTGAGTGCTTCCGTATTTTCGACAAGTACGCCGTACACACAGATACCCAGTCAAACGGCAGCACGTTCTTGCCATAACCTTCTAATTATCTGCCTTCATTACCCATCATTTGGCATCGTTGACTGTTGTATTATTCACGTTGGCCACAAGGGGGCTGAAGCTCACCAGTACACCTGTGTGAATGTATTTTTGTGTCCATGCAGTTTAAAAATAATGTGATTAATAAAATATTCATATTATATATATGTTTTTCTGTCTGCAGGAATGGAGATGGTTTCGTCGACCGCGAGGAGTTTGGATACATCCTCAATCTCACCGGAGAGTCGGTCACAGAAGAAGACATTGACGAGATGTTTGGAGAATCTGACACAAACAAAGATGGAAAGATTGACTTTGACGGTAAGAGCGAGTAACATTTGCCACAACACTATTCTATTCACCAGTTTCAAAAACACAAGTACACAGTTTACACACCCTCATTAAACAAATAAACTGCTAAAGTTTGCTGAAAGTCAACTCAGAAAAAGCAAATGGCTGATTTAGAGATAGCTAAGTGGTGGCTAATTATAGCAAAATGTGGCTAAAAAACAAACAAAGAGTTGAAGAAAAAAAAAATTGGGAAAAAAACAAACATACAACTCCCATAAAGTCTTATTCCAGCTTGCCAACTAGATTGTATGGAATTAGTTGGCGAGCGGAGCAAACTAATACATTGTTAAGCATTGACATCTGTGGAAGATGGCTTTGTTTACATTTGCCTGCTGTACGCCATGCATTAGATTGTGCTGCATTTTCGTTTGGGTTGTTTTTTTGTGGCTCCAAGGTGTAAGTCAGACTTTTGTAATGTTTTATGTTCTAGATTATGATGTTACCACTGTGTTACAGTAGGTCACTGAGTATTGAATTATTGAATCAATAGTACTAATATCATTATGAAGAAGGACTGTGAGGTCTGTCTGTCTCTCTTCCCTCCTGTGAGTGGAGCTAATCAGTGTCATCACACTCACCTGTGTCTCTGTTTCACTGGTGTCACCTGGTGTCCTGGGTTTATACTGTATACACCTCTCTCCCTCAACCTGTCTTGGTGGAGTCATTGGTCTGTGTTCATGCACTGTTGCTGGTAGTCATGCTTTGTTGTCATGTGACCCAGTGAGTTTTGTGGGTTTTGCACTGTGTGAAGAAACTTCCGGCTCCTGTAGAGATTCTCCCTCGTGTTGCATTTGGGCCCCGTCTGCTTCCTCAAGTCACAAAACGTAACAAGGGATTCATTATTGGACACTTAATATTGGTTATTATGTTCAGCACAGATGATATCCACGTCAATGTTGAGTGTTTTGTGATTTGGATCAACAAATCTGCACATACTCAAAGGGTGACAGAGAGATGATCTGAGCTGTTTATCAGTCAACGTAGAGCTGTGAACTGAGCCAAGACGAGCTGTCCACACTCCTCATGTTCCATTCCAGGGTCGCCGCTCCCTATGTGCAGAACAGGCACTGTGCAGGGCCCCACATTTACGGAGGAGGCCACAGTTTAAGCAATAACACAGATCGCCATCTACTGGGGAATCTAATTCATAACAGCCATAGCTGTTGCCAGACAGAGTTGATAGAATTGATGTGATTTTATAAAAATCCAGAAGGGGCAGCAAGTGGGGGCTTGGTTTTGGTGTATGGGAGGAGGAGGGGCCCAATAGAAAATCTTGCTTAGGGCCTGTTTGTCTGGGGATGGCCCCATTCCATTCACTCAACCTGCTCTGGCACCATTGTGACAGTCAGGTGTTCTTACGCTATACTGATATAGTGTGACATCATAATAGTGAATCACCAATGGGAGGGAGGTAAGGTTTTGACTCCAAGTGCTGATAAAGACAATGTCGAATGAACATCATCAATACCAACATAGTAAATTACAAAGTAATCATTGGAACAATTCAGTGAGTTAGGAATTTGCCTGTAACATTAATGGGTCACGTCCTGGGAGATTTTATGGCATTTTAGTTGTAAAGAACAACCTAGTTTCCCAAAGAAAATTCCAGAGGACTCAATAAAGATCTCTCTCTCTCTCTCTCTCTCTCTCTGTATATATATGTCCACCTAACCTATCTATCTATCTATCTATCCATCTATCTGTCTGTCTGTCTGTCTGTCTGTTGTCCATGTTGTCTCTATTTGTTTCTAGATGTATTTAACCCTTACAGCTGTGGTCCCTTCGTCTATCTTCGTTTGTTTGTGGATTACTTGTAGCTATTGTAGGGCCTACCTATTGTGCTGCGTATCTATTTTACAACAGTAAATTCAGTGTGCAGAGGAAACCAGATGGGGTTCTGCACCATAATGGAGGTGTGAGTGTCAGTCTTACCCTGACCTCCGGTGTGATTTGAGACGGTTTTATCAAGTCGTGTGTCTTGGGCTACAGAGCTGGAGTACCTAGTATCTGTATAATTGGAGACAATATCTTCTTCCTCGTCTATTTCATTTTTTCTTCAAGTAACAAATGTCTTTCTAATCAGTGTGATGGAGCGCTGTTTGACTGGAAGATTGATTTTTTCTGATCTCCTTTTGTCTGCAGAGTTTCTGAAAATGATGGAGAACGTCCAGTAATCAGCCGCCTCTACATTCCCATGTTGGGAGAGAATGTAAAAGCAAAATTCTGGAATTATCTGCGCATTCACGAATGTGACGTAGGTCATGAGGCATCTAAGTGGACATGAGTAAAATGCTTTTTAAACCCCTCCTCGCCTCCCTCCTGTCACCCTCCCCTTCCCAAATGAAACCTCAGGACTTGGTGGTGATCTCTATAAATACCCTCTTCAAACCATTTAAGACGAAGCCACTTTCTCCCCTGCCGACTCCTTGCGTGGCCCACCCAGCTGTCCACCGGGCAGCTGCCGTTTCCTTAGAAATGCTACACCACCCTTCTTCAACCCCAGTGCTCATCCACCCACCCACTCCCCCTGAACCCACCTCGCCTTCAAATTGGATCTGAGCTTTATAAATAAATCAACTCTCTTTTTCTGACCTTTGTTCATCTCGGCTAATTATTGCATCACGCATGATCTTGTCTAGTGTCTATTTTCCTTCTCTGGAGGATTGTTGTAGTTTTTGTGTTCTCAGACACTTCTTGATCCTATTCTATTGAATTCAATATATTTTAGTTCCTCAAACATTTTTTATTATTGTGATAACTGCACGTGGTCAAAAGTACCATTTAGTTCTTCCGGAAATATTCATTAGCTGTAGGAAAATGTGCTCAAATACCAACGTCTTACTTAATGTACAACTTGGATACATAATGTTATATATAACATTATAAAAAGAAAAAAAAATCAGATTTCTTCGGTATTCTGGACTACGAAAAAAAAGACATTTTCTAGCATTCTGGAAATTTCTAGAACTCATGTTACAGCTGTAAGTTTAATGTCCAAATTCTGAAAAAAAAGAATCTTTCTGGCCTCTTGCGAAAACCGACCCAGCTGTTGGAAAAGACTGGCACAAAAATACAAAAGTGGGTTGTAGCAGAAATAAAGCTGAAATTTATCAGATCAGGTCACATTATTTAACCAAAAAGCAAAAAAATAATGCCACGATTGTTTCTTCTCTCTGTTTCTTCTTCTGGAATAGCGGTCCACTCTGTATGTGTTCTCTTCGTAGCAGTTTCCCACAAAACAGTGCCCCCGGTGGCAGAGTAGAGGAAAGGCAATGTGATGTTGAGAAAGGGTGAAGCCGAGCTGCCGGTCAGTGTTGGAGGCTGGACACGGGCAGCGGTCACAGAGCAGAAGAGTTCACTCTCCTCTGTGGAAGGATCGGATCTTTCTCTTTCTCTGTCTCAGCCTCTCTGAGTATATAATCTGCAAATCCCCCACCCCTCACTTCACAACTGGTCTTCTCCATCACTTCCTACACCTTCCTCCCCGGTCTTTCACCCTGGGGGAGGCTCCTCCTGCCTCTCGTGCAGCTCCTCCCCTTCCTCCTCCTCCTGTTCCTTCAGGAACTGACCTCCATATTAGGAGCGTCTCGGGTTGTGTTTTGCAGGCGAATAGCGGCATCTGAGCCGCGAGCGCCGCGTCCCCCTGTTCCCTCTTAACCCCTAAAATCTGCCTGCCTGCTATTCAGGGCACAGCTATAAGGGTGGAGGCATTGGCTGGGGGTGGAAGGTGGAGGAACCAGGTCTTGGTTTTAAATTGCAGGCCCAGATTGAAACGCCATCATCACAAAACCTGTAACCTACTCTGGGAAATCTACTGGCTCCAAGCGTTTCTCACTGCATGAGCAGCTTGTATTTACAAGGTACAAATTGACGCCAACGGTCACAAGCCCCCTGCATGTGTTGTCTTTCAGGTTTTTTTGTGTCACTTTAGCACATTGCCAGTCTTTCTGGTCGTTTCTGAAACTTTGGGGATTACAAAACCAAATGGTATTGACCTGATAAACCATCAGAGGTTGATGGGAAATTATGAGATGTGGAGAACAGGAAATGACAGGAAAGGATTACCAGAAAATAAAGAATAATATGAGTGCATATAAAACTGATATTTCAAAGTATTTACAGTTTACACAATATTTTTGGTTTTCTCGCCATGGAAAAGAATAGTGGTGGAACTGTATCATTGCACAGACATTTGCATATGTATGAATACTAGGATTTAAATTTGCAATTTAAATGTTAACTTAATGAATTCATTTTTAAGTGTTAATATCTTCAGTATTCTCAGTCTTGTTTCACTTTCTCTTCTCTTTTCCAATCTCAGTTTGAGGAGACAAGGTCTTGTGCTTTTGGTTGCACTCATTTCAAACTATTATGTTAGTTTGATACTTTTCCACATTTGTTTGACTTCTTTTTACATTCCTTCATAACCTCCCAACTTCAGGAAACCAGAGCTTTTAGCCTCCAAAGTGTGATTGGCTTGCCCTGGCCCCAGGACCCTAAAAGTTCAGGATACTAAATCTGGAGGCCTGTAAGAGTCAGGGGGCGGGACCTGGCTTCCCAGTTTAAAGTGTGTCTGAAGCCTCACTTGACGTCTAGTCTCTCTGTCCGCGTGCACACGGATTGACCACTCCTTTGGGCTTTTCTTACATCCTTGGATATATAGGGGGGAAGAACTAATCCACAAAGATGGTAAGATATCAGTCACTCGTGCAAAAAATAAAATAAAATAAATTTGAACAGATTTAAGTTAAGGCCAAGCAGAAATTAAATTCTTAAAATCACAGAGAATAAATGCCTAGGAATTAGAGATTTGAGAATGATCTGAATCATAATGTTTGAATGCACAAGAATGTCATCTCTGAGCATGGTCGTGTGTAGCATTAGGAAATTCAATGTTTCGACAAATCGTAGAGGCAAACTCAGATTGAACTCATAACTCAAGATTCTTTTAGTTTTACAGCCAGGTTCTTGTTGCAATAATCCCTGTAGAAAGATGAGGCAGGGTGCTGGGAGCAGGGTGGATGTCAGCTGTGTGGATTCTGCTGGAGCGACAAATTCCGGGGGATTGGATGTCTGCAGGCCATATACAGCCGGCCCTAATGTGTTGAGCTTGAAATAGCCGCACTAATTTTCACCAGGCAGACATGGCATCCGGCATAACTTTGGTTGACATGATCGGAGATTTAAAAATTCCTAAAATATCTGGATTAATTTTCTGAAATATCATGTCTCTGTTGTTACAGAAAACTAAACTAAAATGAAGTTTCCACTGAAACATGCTCGTCTATTTGGATATTCAAATTGTTTTTGAATATTGAATATTGAATTAAAGTAAAAAAAAATCTGACACTGTGTATTATGTTTTAAATTTTTGGGGTAATATGATTGAATGTGGAAGGAGTAACGTAGAATGGTGATGATGATAATTATAACATTGATAATGATAATGATGACCAGTGACCAACATTTTCTTCCAGACTGACGCCCAACAAGAGGCCCGCTCCTACCTGAGCGAGGAAATGCTGGCTGGTATGTAAAAAGTTACACTCCCCTGCCAAGGAATATGATATTTTAATAAATCTGAATCTATAAATATTAAACTAATTTTGACTTCTACATGTCTTTAAGTAAAAGAAAAAGGAATTACTGGCCAAAATATTAAGTATAGTATAATACTGCAGAGTTTCACCAATAAAAAAACTAGGAAATGTCTGCGAAATTATTAATATATAGCTATATATAGCTATACATACCATTTGCCAACCTGCAAAATCACTAAAAGCCACCAGAGGGAGTCGGTCTAAAAATGTATCTTCCCTCAACAGAATAAAAAAAATTCTAAAGAAAAATATTTAAAGTAAATAAATAAAACAAAAATATAAATATAATATTTAGCTGCAGTTAATGCTTAGCTTTAGTTCGAACATATTCAGAATGATTCATTTTATTTTATTACACTCCAAATTCAGATTTTTTAAATACATATTTTAATAAATATTGAAATTGTATTCGTTTTTTATCCACTGAGCATTTGTAATGTGTCGGAATCTGACTTGTGTTTCACGCAGAGTTCAAGGCCGCCTTCGACATGTTCGACACCGACGGTGGCGGTGATATCAGCACCAAGGAGTTGGGTACCGTGATGAGGATGCTGGGTCAGAACCCGACAAGGGAGGAGTTGGAGGAGATCATCGAGGAGGTCGATGAGGACGGTGAGTTGGAAAATGTGTGTAGGATGTACAGAGCTCGCAAAAACGCGTTATATAAGTGCAAATATTGGCGTTTGTACAACAGTAGCAACGCACTGGCAGGTTCAACTTTGTTGTTGTTGTTGTTGTTGTTGCGTGCCTTTAGGTAGCAGTTCCATCGACTTCGAGGAGTTCTTGGTCATGATGGTGAGGCTGCTAAAGGAGGACCAGGCCGGCAAGAGTGAGGAAGAGTTGGCAGAGTGCTTCCGTGTGTTCGACAAGTAAGAATCGCTTACCTCAGTAATCAGAGGTCAGGAGTGCAGGGGCGTTTCTAAGCACCACTAACGCCGGCCTTGTGTCTTGTGTGTAGGAACGCTGACGGCTACATCGACAGAGAGGAGTTCGCCACGATCATCCGCAGCACCGGTGAGCAAGTCACAGAGGACGAGATCGATGAGCTGCTCAAGGACGGAGACAAGAACAACGACGGCATGCTGGACTTTGACGGTACGTGTATTGTAATACACTGGTCCCCAACCCCCAGTCAATTTGTCAATTTGTATCAGAATGAAAGAGTTATTCAAGCTGGTCATTTTCCATTTACTTTGAATTCCATCAATTCTTCAAAACAATTCCACTTTGATACTAACAGAATAAAGTCTAAAAGATTTTTAAAAATGTACTGATCCTTTAATAATGCCTAAATGATTGGCGCAGCGTCACTGGTCGGTGGTATTCCGCAGAACTAAAAAGGTTGGTTGGTGACCGCTGCCATAATAGAAAGGTTAATGGTGATGGTTCATAATAGTCTCAAATAATCACTATGGAAACAACATAATATTTCGTGGACATCATGAAGAACACCACAAATACTTTCTGTGAAAGTAATTACGTTTGGAGAAAAAGTTCTCTTGTGTTAAAGTAGGGAAATCACCCTGAAAGTAATTAAGTTTGGAGAAAAAAGAACCCCAAGATTTGTTGGTTCTCTTGTGTTAAAGTAGGGAAATCACCTGTGGAGTTGGCCGTCGTAACTGATGGTAACCAAAGTGTCAATGTTTGTGACCGGAGAACTGTTCAGGGCAATGGCTTATGGGTTTAGCTCCTGACCTTGAGAAGGGTGAAGTGCTTGAGGTTGGATTCTGTCAGGGTAAACATTTACATATACACTTTTCTTCTATTTAATTTCCAGAATTCCTCAAGATGATGGAGAATGTGCAGTAAATCCTGGAAAATTCATGGACATTCCTCCTCCTCTTACTCCTACCACCTATGAATCCACCCGAAAACATACACCAACCCCTCCCTCCCTCCTCCCTGCGTCCACCTGGATTTCTGCCTCTCTTCTCTCTTCTCCATTGTTGACATCTTCACCAGACAGCGAGGGCTCCCAGCTGCGGAGGTTTGGGGCGCTGGCTAAGCTACACCGAGCAAATTCGGGGGAAAATTCACTGCACACACACAAACACACTCACATATGCATGGAGTGATGTCACATCAGCGACAAGCGCCTTTCCCCCGCCCCCTCCCAGCTCTGCTGGTTAAAGCTCTGATCTAGATGTAGTCTAGATAGAAGGGCAGCCTGTTATCTGCTGCTTAGACCAATCAATCCACCCGAAACACCTTTTCTGTACAAAGAAGTAATTTGCTTGAACAGAATAAATGAACTAACACATGCTCACTTGTAGTCGGTCTGTCATATTTAAGGTCTGTGTAAAGAAATCTTTTTTTTTTTGTTTTGAGGAATATCAATAAAATATTTTGTTTCTTCTTTTGTCCATCTCTCTGTTAAGCACAGCTGGGTTTACATGGTAAATGTGTGAGCAGTTTTAGGTTGTTTTTTTTTTTTACGTCCTCTGATGACTCACTGAAAAGTTATTGGGATTTCATGAACATGACTTAATTAACCACATTTATGGTTTTTTTTACTTAGCATTTCCCCAAGATCAGCAGCTCTTATTCCAAAAAGCATATGAACTTTGATGCAGGACAGTGAACAATTAAACTTGAGATGAGAAAAGATGTAAAGAGATGGGCTAAGACTGTGTCAAAGGACTCAACATGTTTTGTGATGTGTTAAAAAAATCCCTATTAAGTAAATGCAGTTGCTTTTTAGTCAGACTGGTACTTTTGTTTGAAATGAATAGCCACATACAATAGTAATGTAAACATAAACATGTAGTCTGCTAACAATGAGGGATTTCATAAAATACATAGCAAAACAAAATGGAAAAGCACTTCCAACTTGTGCAACAACAAATAGTAGGCTTGGAATTGCTTTTATTAACCCAATACAAAGCATGCAAAATCCTTCACAAAACAATTATTGAGCTGTCAATCAGGTTTCGCAATTAAATGATTGATCATTTGGTCTGTTATAAACTGTCCTTTAAAATTCAAAACACCATCTTTAAAAAGTATTTAACATTAATTCTGATTGTGATCTTAAATCATTCAGTGAAAGAAAACAAACCATTGTCATCAATTATGTTGTTGACTGCAGAAGTTAGTAAAACTCACAGCTTAACTGTGTCAGAAACCTTAATTGCAGAGTGAACTGCAACAGTGAACACAGAGCTGGATCACATCGGGCATAACTTTAAGATCCATAGTTGGCCTCATCGAAGGCTTTTCTGGCTCTCTTCAATTCTTCGTTCATAGTCAGCAGATCTTTGACCCTGGCGAATTTCCGCGGGTCCTTACGGATAAGAAAAACGATGTCCTCCACTTGGACACGGCCCTGTCGTCCGATTGACATGGCTTTGTGTGTCATTTCTGTGATGAACTCGATTACTAAATCCTCTAGGATGTCCACGGACTCCGTGTACGGATTCTGGTCGTCTCCGAAGCCGTACATCATACAGCGGAGTTCCTTGGAAAACAGCCGTTTTCTCCTGCCGTGACAAATGTCAACGCCGCCAGGACCTTCGTCCGCCTCCTCTTCAAATCCAGTCTCGTCTTCTTCCTCCGCCATGACACTGAAAACATCAGTAAAGAGGTCTGTTCATTTTCATCGACATTGATTAATGTATAGTATTATAATTGAAAGAAAAACATAGACGATACCTTTACATACAGCCTGCAGCAAACACTTCCGGTTGAAATTGTACAAACTTCCGCTTCCTACGTCCTCTTCTTCGTTTTCAGTGTAGAGCATACCATTTGTCACTAATTTTAATTACCGCCATCTGCACATGGACCAGTAGTACTACCAGCTATTGGTTGTATTTATTTTTAGGAATTTATTTTATTCTTTACTTTTTTCACCTTTTACATTTTGGCTAGGGAAAATAGATAATCATTTGGATACCAGGAAAAGAAGGAAAATAGAAATTACATAATTTTAAAAGGGAATTTAATTCCATTTAATTCAAATGTAGTCGAATTGTTTGATGATATTACGACTGTTTATTGAAAACGGCGTAATAGCATACTAAACTACTTAATAAACAATAAAGTAAAGAATTCTACTATATAGCATAATATATAGTAATATATAGCATAAATGTTTAAAGAAAGGTGATTTAATTACTTTAGAGATAAACACAAAAAGAAGTCTAGAAAACATTACACTGCCCCTGGTGGTCATTTACTGTAAAATATCCACTGGCACATTATCTGTGGACTGGTTCACTACCATATCGGGTCACATTAAAAGGCTAACATGAACAGGGAGCACTAGAAGAGGTAGGTTTCTTAAAAATGACTTAAGTCCTTTTTATTCTTAACAACATACACAAAATATTACATTGCACAAGAGCTCGCTTCTGTGTTATCAATACTTTACTGAAAGCATATCAGCAGCTACATGTTGCTTTTTACGCTGTATTTAGCCGTTGAAGCTAAAGGAAGTGCCCCGTGTCATGGGCCTTACTAATGCTTATTTGCACGGTTCTTGTGTATTCTAAAGCGGCGTTATCTCGGCATGTTCCGTGCCTGTGTCAGAGCAGCGGCGTCCACCGGGGTTAAACCCCAGAAATGTGGCTTAACGGAGGCTGGCGCTAGTGAGTCGTCACTACAGAAAATCACCGTTCGGTGTAATACCATAGAAACATTGTAGACTTGAAATCTGTTGGCTCGTTAATATTTAATACAATTAGTTTAAACGTACAGTTTGAAATACAAACAAATAAAATAATTTAAGGTCCAATGGTAGAGCGTACAACTTGGCTAAAGTAGCCGGACTGGAACAGGAAAACATCTTGTGATCCACATGTAGAAACACCCGGCGGCTGTGTGTAAACCGTATTAAAGATGCTTGATCGCAACTCCTTGTTTGCATTACTTCTTGGTGGGTGGGACAACATCCTTGAAAGAAGATAAAAAAGACAGGTTTACTGACAGACTGGTATCGTCAGAGATAAATGACACCTAACGGCACTTGGCTTCTCTTTACACTGCACTAAACAAATTTGAGGGAGGTTGGTTTGCTCATTAAAGGTTGGGAGTAAAGGTTACTGGAATACGGTTTGGTGAGAGCTTCCATTTCAACTTTACTTGATATCAAATTAATAAGAAGTCAATTATTGTAAATTATTGTATAACAGCTGTCTTCCTGTTGGGTTTTAACACGTTTGAAGTGAGTAGGATGTAGCGGTAGTGTGTAAAATTCAATTGGTTGTTAAAATCATGTAGAAAAACATATGGCAGAACATATTGAAATACAAAATGTTTAAAAGTTTGTGAAAATTGTTTCCCTGTTTCTTTAAGGCATTTTTGTTTTTTAGCTGAAGACGTTTTAAGTTACAATACAATAATTATATTATAATAATACAATGCAGATATATTTTTAACACAATTCCCAGTAATCCCAGTAACAATTCACAGTAGTTGTTTTTCCTGGCAGACCGTACCGTATTCTTATCTGTCCTTCAGCAGTTTGGACATTGGAACTTTTTTGTGTGTATGTGGTTCCACAATCAGTTAATCAAAACTGTGCAACTTGTGGATCCCTTTAAGTTCTTTTTTTTCTTCTCTGGGCTCTTGACTCAGGGAAAAATGTATATAAATGTATATATCTAATCTAAGGATGTCCGATAATATCGGCCGATCGATATTATCAGGCTAATTTTAGCATATTTTGAAATATCTCCTGACTCCCACTCGCATACACGTACAATAACTGTTAACTCCTTTGTAACACAGAACATTATGAAAGAGAAACACGTCACTAGATGGAAGCATTTTAGCTCATTTTATTAATCTACATTGATAACCGTGAGATTGTATACTTAATGCTGGTACCAGTCAATCTTACAGTGGTTTGTACAGATTAATAAATACATACTACCATGTGCTCAATAGTATTTTAATAAAATGTCTGTAAAGTTTTTGATACCCCTGCTCTTTTTTATACATTCTGTACAGAAATTACACTAACCCTCCCTGTGTGGTCTCTCCCTGTGCCACAGCACTCAGGTCTGCTTTGGACGACAGGGATGCAGGTTGCAGAGTCCCATCAGAGATGACCTCTCATCTGTAGCTGTCAGTGCTAGACAGCTGATCCTCCTGCTGTGCTGTACATGGCAGGCCCCATCCACTTCCTGTGCAAGGGTATCCGCACAGTGGGATTAGTTTTTCTCTACTACATCTTCTCCATCGGCATCACATTCTATAACAAATGGCTGATGAAGGTAAGTTATCAGAGATCACGCTCCAGAAAACCTCAGTTTGTGGACAGAACAGGGCCAACTCTAGCCAACGGGTGGCCTAAGCAGGATTTTCAAGTGGTGCCCTAAGCACTTATGAGTTAAATTTAGCTGGTTTGTCTTATCGGTTGAGATGTCTGATGCGTTCCGAAGATGAAACAAATATTGACTTGTTAATCCAACGAGAATGAAAATTTCATAAAGCATAATTTAAAACGTTTTTAGTCAAAAAAAGAAAATAAAAACTGTGAGCCTGAAATAACGATAATAACAAGAAAATCCGATTGTACTACTCTCCTCTGGTCAGTCTAGGACACCTTCACAGTTGCCTGCTTAAAGCTAAGAGTTTTTTGCGCAGACCTCTCTGGTATGATAACAGCGCCTTTTTTTGTTTGTCTAACGGGAGTTTCTGCAGGGCTTCTGCTTCTTGTTATAATCTGTAAACAGTTCAGTACAGTCATAGAGCATATGACGGTTTGCTATTTACACCAGAACTAGTTACATCAAGGGCAACTGAACGAAGTAGGGTTTTTTTTCTTTTTTGGTTTCTCATCTCATATCTCATCCAAGAGGCTTCTTCAGTTCTGACTGACTGCTGGGAAATTCTGGTATATAGCCTCAAGGGGGCTGCATACCCATAACGTGGGTCATTGCAGAAAGGGGGGGTGGAGGTGTGGTGAAACCCACCCTATTCTAAGGAGGGTGGAATGTAAAGTCACAAGGTTGGAGGTGTGAATGGGGAGTGATAACACAGCCATGGACTAGTAGTTTCACCTGAGCGACACTTTTGTCTGGGTGTCCTTTGAAATGAAACTTGTTTTTTTAGGGAGGGTGTTGACATTTTTGGGGAGAGAAGTCAGGACGACATTATAAGTGGATGAAAGGTTGTGTCTCAAACCACCTCCTCTATTGAGAGATGGTTTCTCCTGGTTAACGTAGATGGCTTCCTTCACCCCTCTCTCAAACCATCTGTCTTCTCTGGCGAGGATGTGTACGTTGTCCTTTGTCCTCAAGATGTAGATGAACAGCCCTGAGGAGCTGGCTCTCCTTTGTTGTTGCATACGCGTGTGCAGTGGTTGTTTGGTTTTCCCAATGTAAAGGTCAGGGCAGTTTTCACTGCAGTGTACTGCATATACAACACTGCTCTGGTTGTGCTGAGGTATTTTGTCCTTTGGATGGACCAGTCTTTGTAGTTTTTTGGAGGTCCCGGCAACATACTCTTTAGAAGATCTAACCACCAAATTTAAATTATATTGGCCGCAACTACTTTTTTGTTTTATTTGTTATGTTATTGTTGTTTTATTTGAAAACAAAGGAAAATTACAATTTGAAAGTTGTACCAAAAATTACTTAAAGCTTACACAATTGCCAAATTGTTACTCAGGAGCCCAGGAAGCTGAATGTTGAAAATTGTCGAAACATGGCTACAAGTAGCCTAAAAACTACTAGCTAGTAGCTATGACAATAACTTAGGGTCAAAAATAACATTTGACAAAGAGGATTGTTGAAAGGTAGCTAAGGAGTAGCTCATACTTTTCTCTAAAGCCCTAACAATGACTGTGAAAATCAAAAAGTGCCCAGAAGGAACTTATTCAATGAGGAAAGAACAAAAGTAAAATATCTTTCCTGTCAGTGTCATCTACATCCTGATAGTTGGATTAAAAACAAAGACATTTTTTACTTAAAGACAAACGATCGTCCTCTACTGTTGTCCAGTCTTCGATGTTTTAATCTGATCCGTTTATTTATTTCCTTAGGGTTTCCATTATCCCCTCTTCATGACCCTCGTCCACCTCATCATCATCTTCTGCCTGTCTGCTCTGACGCGACAGATCATGCTGTGCTGGACAGGGAAACCCCGGGTTGTTCTAAACTGGACTGATTACTTCCGTAAAGTGGCGCCAACCGGTGAGTGGTTTTAACTGGTTTTGATGCGCACTGGAGTGATGCAAGAAGAATAAGGCAGAAGTGCAAGAGTGCTGAGACTGACTCATTGTCACTCTTGTGACACGTCAACACAGAAAATGCTCACATCACAGTGGTCTAAAACTAATCCCTGTTCATTGTAAGTAGAAAATAGCTCTTAGCTTTTGTGACAGTGACAGAAAATGTATTTTACTAATTTGTTTTTGCCATAAGTGGAGTCTGTATCTGTCTTGTCAATTCAGGAATTTCTGAAACAAAGTGTTCTAATTACTGATTTATACGACTAATAAACTTCTCTAATGCTACTGCTATGGTCTGTTAATCCACAATTAAAGAGCAATCTATTTTCATTTTTAGACTAATTTCCAACATGTCGTTGCACAAACAACTGTAGCCTGTTTTTCTGGAGTTCATTTCCTTCTCTCTCTGTCTTTTACAGCCATCGCCAGTGCTCTGGATATTGGACTTTCAAACTGGAGTTTACTCTTCATCACCATTAGCTTGTAAATTTCTGTCCTTATTAACACAAAGCACATGACCTGAGTGTTAAATGACAAGCCTGAACTGTAGTGTATTTGCTCCAGTGCTGGATTTAGAGCCATGTTCTCAGTTGTGTTGTCGTTTTCCAGGTATACCATGACCAAATCCACGGCTGTGCTTTTTATCCTCTGCTTCTCCCTGATATTCAAACTAGAAGAGCCGGTGAGTCGTTGTTGTCATTGCTGTTTCTGAACTTCTTTCATATCTATCCATCCATCCATCCATCTTAATTCATAACCAAAAAAGTTAATCCAGACAAATACATTTTGATTGCGTTGACCAAATTCGCACACACGTTCAAGGAGTGGGAGGACAAAACTTTAATGCCAACAAACATTTGTTTGAAGAAATTTCAATCACAGTCGTTTATTGTATTTTTCGACTAGTAGCAAACACCACTAATGTATACAGACTTACTGTAGCGAGAACACAAAGTTTGGGGAAAAATATTTTTTAAGGTGGAAGTTGTTTTGACATCAGATTAGCCTTCTGTATATGACTCTAACTACAGAGGCCATGCATTGAATTTAATTTTATTACAAAACACATTCCTTTAATATTCCAGTTGTTTCATCAAGTCTGTTTATCTATTAATTAACAGGAACTTTTCATGTCATAAAACACCAGGACAAGTTGTTATCTGAAGGAAGGCGTGGTAATAATTAAAATCCACCTTATTTCTTATCTAAATAAGTGTAGATTATGAGCTGCGAGACAGACATAGCCACACACACTGCTTTACAGTGAAGAGGAGCGCCAGACTGTGACCTTTTTTAAGCGAATTACTTTCAGCAACATTAAACTAAAGAAGGCACGGCTAACGTGGGAAAACATCAGAGTTTTGAACCGTCCCATGTTCAGCCAAAGCACAGCACCTTGTCATTAGGCCACACCTGTGACAGCTTCCAGGAATGGGGCTTAAAACCATGTTGGAATTCACACTCGTAATTATTTTTTGTAATTTTGTAAAATCTTACATATACAAGTAGAACAACGAGACAACAAAACCCGCAGTTACTGCTGCAGTTGTAAAATATGTCCAGGTGTGTCACTTTGTCAACCACTCCTAGAACGTGCATACATGCATTACCTGTAATTATGCGGTACACTATATTGTCGTTCCTTCAAATTCTGTAGGGAGCACCACTATGGAGTTGGTAGCCCAGCTGCAGTTGTCCTTTACATTAGCACAAGTGTCATCCATCCATTTTCATCCGCTCATCGGTTACCGGGTCACAGGGGCAGCAGTCGCCACCCAAATCACATCCCTAACTGGGATTCGAACTTGTCCAGGAGGTGAACCCTGGGGTTCCACACCAATGACAGAGACATTGCCTCTGGGCCACTCACAAGTTTCATTCAGTTTCATTTCCCAGGTATAGACAGGGAAAATGTCAATATATTTTTGCTTTTATATATATACATATATATAAAAGCAAAAAAATATATATATATATAAAAGCAAAAATATACTAAAATTTTTATATATATGTATGTATATATGTGTGTGTGTATATGTGATGTGTATATATATACACATATACAGTATATACATATAAATACATATATATACACATATATACATGTATGGCCATTGTCCTAATGCTATGCAAAACTCACAAAACTGGCCATTGCCCTAATGCTATGCAAAACTCACAAAACTAATGATATGTGCAGGGTTGCTATTACAGTAAGCTGAAAAGAGAACAAAACACGTTAGACGTGCAGCTTCAACACTTTTTTTTTTTCAAGATTTATAGTATCACTGGAACGTCCTGTCTTTTACATTTAATTGTATTTTCTGTCGAACATTTTTAAACAGGTTTCTCGTTGACCTGGTTCTTACAGCACATGTTCACATGTTCTCTCTCTCACTCGTTCTTCCAGAACCCATTCCTGATCCCGGTGGTCCTGCTCATCTCCAGTGGTCTCTTCATGTTCACGTACAAATCCACCCAGTTCAACGTGGAGGGGTTCGTTTTGGTGCTTCTGGCGTCTTTTATAGGAGGAATACGATGGACACTCACGCAGATCCTAACGCAGAAGGCTGAACTGGGTGAGTATGAATTTCTGAAAGATGCAGCTTGAGTTAGTGTTAGTTAACACGGTGGTTTTCAAACAGAGGGCAAAAAGTCTACAAAAAAATCTAATAATAATAACAATAATAACAACTATGATCATGATGATTATTATTAATACAAACTTTGATAATAATAATGACAACATTAATCCATCCATTCATTTTCATCCACTTATCCATTACCGGGTCGCGGGGCAGCATTCTCCACGACTGCCACCCAAATCACACCAACCCCCTAAACCTTCCTGTGGGTGGTGAGTCCACTGGAAGGTACCAACCGCCCTAACCGGGATTCAAACTTGCCCAGATGAACCTTGGGGTTCCACAGTAAAGACAGAGACATTGCCTCTGGGCCAAAGCGCTACAATAACAATAATAATTTTCCTGTATAACACGTAATTGTCAGATTTTCAAGTTTCTCATGGTATGCACCTTTTGTGACACCTTTGGCTGTGTCATAATCTGTGTAAACCTGCCAATTTGCGGCCATTATCTACCTGCTCTGGTCCTCCAGCTAACATGTAGCTAGCTAGCGTTGAAATGTTTGTTAAATGTAACAATTATTAAACGTTGAACTGGATTGTTCCTCAAATCGTAAGTCGCTTGGGATAAAAGCATCTGCTAAATGTAAAAAGTGTTTCATTACATATTTTATAGCATTGTTTGTGGGTTTAAAAACGGGGGTGTCCAGCCAGAAGCTAATGCTGTTTGGGGGGGACCTTTGCATGGAGAGCTTTGGGGACCCCTGTGTTAACAACGCCATGTGATTATTTGCTTGACCAATTTAGGACGTACACATTTCGTCATGAACTTGTGGGCTACCATTGGCTCTTGTGGGCTCCCAAATTTGATTCAATAAATTCATGTTTCTTTGTGTTCTCTTGCAGGCCTTCAGAACCCTATAGACACCATGTTCCACCTACAGCCTGTTATGTTCTTCGGCCTCTTCCCACTTTTCCTGTTTAATGAAGGTGATGTGCAGTTTTATGTTGTACTTTTTATGATACTTTGCAAAAAAAACACCACTGAGTAAAAGACGAGACATAACAGAAACAAAATGATGTCACTGTAGACTCAAAGCCAGGCCAGGAGTTTACCTGGCACCACATCACAGAGTGCTACATAAAACCTAGTGCCTTCAGGAGCGGCATCAGTGGTACATGAAACGTGGGTCAATTTAGCTTGATGCGCAAATCGCCTTATCTCTAAAATGTATGGTTTTGCGTGTTGAAAACCTTTGTTGTTGCCAGCAGGAGAAACTTAATGCATCACCTGCTGAAGTGAAGAAATCTAAAACCATAATTAGCGTTTCTATAGATTAATTATTAATTTCTCTTATCTAAATTATATCACGGCCTTATCTCTACATTCTCTGCATTCTTGTGTATTGCTAGTCACTCTGACGTCACTGTTCCCCAATAAGGATAAAAACTTTCCCCGCAAATAGTAATAAATACTCATGAGAAAACTCTAAACAACACTAACGAAGAACAAACCAACAACTAAATACCAAACAAATGGCTTCTACACCTGGCTATTCACCATCAACTCCACCTCACCTGTCAACACTCTGTGTTGTGGGTATTTTACACATTCCGCCTAAAGAGCCGACATAACAAGTAGCTGCAGATAAAGTATTTTCTCATTAGCTCCACTCAAATAAATCAACCCGACTGTGGTTTTTGGAGCGAGCTCCAACCAGAGTAAACTTTTTTTTTTCCTGCCAGTGTGGTAATTAGATCAGTATTACAGTTTCTCCATATGGTGAATTAGATATGCCTGACGGTGCACGCCACTGATGTAATTAAGTGAAGATGCTTCTCTTTTGTTGACTTGAGTAGTGTTATCAGTAGATTCCAGCGTGGAACCAGAGATCACACGTCTTAAGAGCATTCAAAGTAAACCTGTTAGATGACTGAATGGAAAATGCTGCGAGCAGTTTATTACAATTGTGACATCCTGGAAAAACTGGAAAATCTTTGTTCATATTTTGAATTTGACCCGCAGACATGTGTGTTCTGTTATCTTGCTCTATATGTTTGCGTGTACTTAACTTGCTTCTTCATTTCTTTCCTTACCGACGCAATTGTGCCACCTGGTGGTAACTTTGATAATTGAACTAGAAAATGCCCCAAAGGCCTGACGTGATACACTTTTCTTATAATCGGAATTCCTAGATTTATGCCTAATATTTCCAATGCATTTCACCAGTAAAATAATACTTTTTTTTATTTATTATTTATTATTTTATTTTGGAAAGTCACCCATAACAAAAAGTGACAAAATTGGAAAAAATAGATGGGAATTTTAGAAAAATGCAAAAATTATTTTTTTTCCCTTCATTTTTACTATAAGCAGATGTCTGACTGAAAAGTTTTCTTATTGTTCAGATAAATCAGTCTGAGTGTAAATGCCTCCATCTGCTTTTCACCACGGCCTCTGTGTGAGGCTGTGATCTGAGTGGCTCTCACTCCTTGCCCCCAAAATATAATTGATCACTGCTGGAAGTTGATTTGATTTTAATTTAATTAGGTGCATAATTCACAAAAATGTCCTGGATATTGTTCAGAGTGATGCAGAATTGCTGTTGGACTTAAATGAGACATCCTTAAAAATGTACACATAAATGAATATAAAAAGAAAATGACGACATGGGACTGTAGTCCTTCGTCCTATACAGTCTTCCAGTTACAACCGGCCCCTCAAGGGGAACTGTAATGCTGATGTGGCCCCCGGTGAAAACGAGTTTGTGTGATAGCACTAGGTTAGCATAGTAACATGTGTGCAGTATGTGAGTTCCAAACTACAGCGAAAATCGAGTCACGTCATGCCATAGGAACAGAACTCCGAGGGTCTAGGACCCCGTGTAATGTAAATCAATTTGAAATATGAAAATAATTATCATAGCACTGTTTTAAATTCTTTAAAAAAACCTCACCTTAAAAGTGTCTGGACTTGACCTAGAACATGGGAAAAAACCTTGAGTTGACTCAAGTCTGACTGTTAAATCTGTATGTTTTAAACTTGTCTCCCACAGGGCTGGCCATCAGCACGTCAGAGAAGTTGTTCCGAGTGACGGAGCTTTCGCCTCTGCTTTACTCTCTCTGTGCTCTGAGCATCGGCGGCCTGTTGGCCTTTGGATTGGGCTTCTCAGAGTTCTTGCTGGTCTCCAAAACCTCCAGCCTGACTCTGTCAATAGCAGGGATCTTTAAGGTGTGTTTAGTCTCCTTTTGTTGCCCACTTAAGCCAATCCTCTCACCTTTATTCCCTTTTTGGATTGCGCTGACTAATGAACATTCCACTTTGGTAAATCCTCACGAAGGTCGCGCTGCTGTGTTCTTGTTCAGACTCATCAATGGCACATCAATACCTTTTTTTGTTGTTGTGCTGTTTCCCTGTAGGAGGTGTGCACTTTGCTCCTGGCTGCAGCTTTGATGGGAGATAAAATGAGTTCTCTGAACTGGCTGGGATTCACCGTGTGCCTCTCTGGCATTTCATTACACGTGGGAATAAAAACATATTATTCTAAAAGTAAGTTTTGTTTTTTTTTTGTTGTGTAGTGTTGTTTATAAAGTTGCAAAAAGTACAGGATTTCCTTTAGCTGGATTTAAATGCATATGTTTTGTGCTAAAGAAAATGTATGCATAACATGTTACACATTTCTAATTTTTATTTTCTAAAAATCTGATATATCTTGTCTTTGTCTTTGATATCATTTAACCTTTTGTCATCTTTGCTGAGTAAAAACAGAAATATATACATCATTATAGTGATTTTTACTACAGTGCAGCAAGAGCAGGGACATTTGTGCCTCTGAAAAGCATAATAAAAACATCTTGTCCTTCGTTCTTTCAGACAAAGTCCCGTCCACCAGGCCGTTGAACATCAGGAGCCCGGAGCTGGAGCTGCCGCTGCTGCAGCAGGGCAGGGATGGAGTCGACGGTTTTGCTGCTGATGATGAAGAAGATGAAGACGAGGACGTCACTCTGCACTAACATTCCCATGCGAAGAAAAACGGGTTTCAGGAAGTCCTGACGGCCATCACAGCACATTTGTTTTTCTAAAGAAGACCAAACTCTGTTAGTGCTAAAGCACTACAGAACTCTGACCATGACGATGTAGCCACAGAGCATCAGAAGCTGTCGTATCAGGGCCACTTTCTGTGAACTCCAGTAACCGGAACTTGATTGTGGTTGCAGGACTGTTCCAAATAGATTGTGCAAATGAAATCTCTAACAATTATCAAATGTACCACCACGTTCCACGTGGTTCACCTTCGTGTCTGAGAGGACATTATAGTTCACATCAAAAAAGATTGTCGACAAACAGGGTAGCATGAGGTTGTAGGTCTGTTATACCAATAGAAACCTCTGTAATTTTCTGATTCAGCAATGTTTTGTTTTGTTTTGCCTCAGTTGGCTCGGCATCATTCTGACTCAAATCTCACTTTGTCTCAAATAGCACATTTGCATTGACTTTATGAAGTTTTTAATGAATGGAAAATTTCCACTACAGTAGTGTGAATGTACTGTGGACCAAGGGCTTAGGCAGTAGTCCAGGTTGGTGTTGGTTGGTTGCGTGTTTTTTTCCAAAAGAGGGCGTTGTAGGTCAAGAGGTTTTTGGTCCTTGACATAGCCAGGTCCAGAGCTAAAATGGTCAAAAATGCTCCAAAATCCTAGACATTTCTGTTTTGAAGTTATTGATATAATGAAAAAGTCTTGTGAAATACAACAGTTCAGTTTGCTTCTATTTGGTTCCATCAAATTTTCTGACCAATCTTGAAGATGTTCATTACAAGGTGCACCCCATAGCTTCTGTTGTCCTTGATAGATCTACCTCTAAAGCAGAAACATCTTCAGGGCCGAACAAAACTGCATTAGGTTCCTGCAGTGAAAACACGCAACACTTTCTCCTACTTTTTGTTAGTTCCTGTCATAGGCATGCAGGTTTACTGAACGGGAACAACCATGTTAGCTTTTCCCCTTCTCGCTCTCCAGGAAGTATGGATTTTGAATGTGTCAGAATTTATAATGTTTTGCCCAAGGCGACCTCGAGAAGTGTAGCTAATCCATGAAAATGTCAGAGCTTGATGTATGGGGCTACAACCTAAAATGACACCTTGTATTTAAGGGGTGTTTCTTTCCTTTTTTACCACCCTGTCATGTTGTGGGAAAAACGCGGTCCATAGATGTAATGGAGTGTTTGCAGGTGTATAAAAATCTGTCAGGAAACTATTTTTTCAAATGTTTTTATACTAATGTTTGCATGATTAACAATCAACTGCTACAAAAAAGCTCCAATTTTTTTTTTTTTTAATATTACCTGGTCTAAAAAATGACATTTTAAACTAAAGTTTTAATGACGTTAATGACTCATAAATTTGACTGCCCAGAACCCACTGGGTCATATATGTTGATACATTTGGTTGTTAAATGCAGGCAATTCTGAGATGTATGAATTGTGTATTTGGTAATGTATAAAGTTAGCATGTTTCGCTAACTTAAAACATGTAATGGAACCAATTACCAAAGCAATGTAAGGACCTCTTGCTGTTATAGTTGATGGAAATGTTAAGAGTTCAGAAGTGTGGTGGTTTGTGGTGAAGGAACAACTAAAAGATTGTTGCCAAGGAACCCAGCTACAAAACACACATTTCTGAGTCAATGTATCTTTAAACCACAATACATATTTTCTCTTGTTACCTACAGTGTGGCTTACATCAAGGTACAGAAAATTCTAAAACATTTCTGTACTAATGTGAACATTTTTCATATGAATATGAACAAGAGGCCTCTGTTGAAAAGCTCCACAGGTCAATTTTTTGGTTGTTCAGAGGTGAAAGGAAGTTAACTTTTTGAGAGACATCTGTACCTCAGTGTGCCTTTAAATAACTTAAAGAGCTATTTTCAGTACATTCCAATGTTTCAGTAGTATTTCGTGTTTCAAGACGTTAAATAAAGTGATCGACTGTATTTATTTTCAAGAGACAAATGACTTTTTGTAAAATGCAGCGTTGTTGCAATAAAAAGACGAGTTAAAATGTGGTTTGAAATAGTGAATAATTTCATTTGTTGAGTGCAATTCCTCCACCAGTATGTTGATTTGTTTTGTGATATACTGTAGCTAGCTAGGCAGCTAGCTAGTTACAATCTGCCATTCATTCTTATCACATAGTGTAAGCCGCATATTGCTAAATGGATTACATAATATTGTGTCACCAGCCTCCCCATTCAAATATCAACAAAGCAGTGGTTATGGTGACAAATTACTATTATGTGGCGTTCACGAACCATCGTGAGCCCTAAATTTTAACAGTGGCTACCACTTCTTTTTTGTTTATTCTGCATTGCATCTGTAAGTGATGAAATATGTAAAAAAAAAAAAAGTTAGCCTGCATAGTAGTCATCCCACTGTATGTGTCCTACATACTGTAGCTGAGGAAACCTCTGGCACAGTCACTCGAGACACTGCCTGGTTATATTGTACTTAATTATTTTAAGTACAATGTAAATGTAATAAGTATAATAATTAAGTATAATATACAACACAAAAAATGTGTAGGGCCCCACGTTCAACTTCAGGCCCCTCCTGCGCCACCTATTTTCTCTGGCCGTACTCCCTCTAGCAGCGGCCCTGTCATAGTTTCACAGCTCGGCCGTCAAGATACAGCTACGGAGATTTTTTTTTTATCTTCGGTCTTTTTCGGAGCACCACGCCCAGGCCTGAGTGGCAGGAGGGCGCTACTTCTCGGGTTTCACCCTGAGGTGCTGCTCCTGCTCTTGTTGCCCTCAAAGACAGTGAGGAACTGAAGGAGAAGGAGAAGAAGGAACAGAAGACCCTGAGTGTGTCGAGCTGCTGAGGCAACAAGTACCCAGAGCCAGGTAGGAGCTCCACTCACCTGAAGTCATATCTGAAAAACTCATTCTTTCTTCCTGTTTATCACAGAAAACACCAACGTCTATGAAGTCAAAGCGTTAAACTCTTAACGCTTTACGTTAGGCTTTTATTTAAATGTAAGCTAATAACGACAGCACACAGGTGAATATATGCACAACGTATTTTGCTACGGTTGTTTAAACTGCTTAGACGTCTTAAAGTCATAATTCCCTTATTTAACTCCGTCCTTCAGTGGAGTTCTTACTGAAAGCGACTTTATTTGTATTATATGTAGTCGGTGAATCGATTACATTATACGTTTACATTTTAAACGGTGGTTAACAATAGGTTTGGAGTTCACAGACTACGACAGAATGGACACGGACGTGCACAGAAAATCTGGGGTCAAGTGTAACGGTGATGGCAAGCCATCGACTTGTACTTTTTATTCTACCTATATTCTAATTCTATCTTGATTAAAATTAACAACTATGCTTTTCTTTTCTTTTTTCAATTTAATTACTTATTATGTCTGTCTTTTGACTAACTTTAAGCTGCATTTTTGCTAACTCTATTAGCTATTGGGCAAAAGTTTGACTAAATATGTCATTTTCTACACCAAATTCAAAATTTAAAACAAAGGTCTATAACTGTTGTGACCTGTCATAATTGTGGACTAGCAGTTGAGAACAGGCCATTTGTTTAATTATTTATTATTAGTCAGAACTGGCTCAGTCATGTTGTCAGAGTAATGGATCTAATCAAGATCCTGTTCCTTATTTCAATTTTAGCGACTGCTACTAGCTTAATCTGATACGGAATGCGGTGGATAACAGTTCTAGAACACCTGAAGTGTAAGGACAATGTATTTGTATTTTCCTGTATTCTTGACAGGAACAACTTCTGTTTGTTTTCAAGAATCTTGTTTAAAGCTGTGATCACAATCAATGTCTAATGAAAGTTTAGAACAAGGAGGTCAACATATAAAACTGGGAATATAATATTCAGGAATAATATTAATATTCAGGATTTATTGCTATAGATATAGTGGAATAAAAAATATATATATATACAAAAATAGCTACGTCGAGGGTCACTGGACAAAGTAGGTTTCTTGAAGACGTTTCACCTCTCATCCAAGAGGCTTCCTCAGTTCTTCTTCAATATATGGGCTATTTTTTACACTTGACTGCAAGTGATAATGCTGTATTTAAAAAGCTGACATTTTGGGGGGGCACAGCAATTTGCTATTAACACATACAAAAAAAAGGAAATCATATTCCTACTTTAAAATTCAACTGGTGTTTCATGTTTTGTCCACTATACTCTCCCCTTACATGTACGGTATAAAAATGTACACTTACACTACATTGAAATAGCAAATATTCGATTCTAGAGATAATGTAATAGTTTAGATTTGCCAACCAATGCAGCAAACACTTCTCTGATTAGACTTTCATTTTGTCATGCTTTTCGGTAACTGTTTTCTAAAGGTTACGCCAACTTGTGGCTTTGCTATTTGGTAAAGCTTTTGGAATAACATTAGCTAACTGTGAAGCTATTTAAAATATTTTTTGCTTCACACTTACTTTAAGCAATCATGATGCCTGACATTTAGCTAGTTATAAAGAATTATAATTTTAGAAAATTCATTTAGCCGGATTTGTTATTTATGCCGTGCCTTGTTTTTGGCAACAGTGCACTGTCATTTTTGAAAATATAAAAATGAAACTAAAAAGAGGTTGGAGGAAAATCCCAGCAGACCCCCTGGCAAATCAGTCTGCCTGTATTGCATAACAACACCCACCTTTCTCCTCTGTGTCTGACAGGCAGGCAGCCAGGTGTGCATGACATACACTGCTGAAGTATATGAGTTCAACTTGGCAACATTTAGACATGCAGGTACATGTGAAACATGAGAGAAAAATACACAACGGTGTTGCATGTTAGGTGGTGCACACCGAAGCCCGAGGCCGGAAATCTGTCAAAAGATCTCCTTGTTGAGGTAGAACAGGGGTTTCAAAACATATACTGCCCAAAAGCCATGTCATCATGGCATTTCTACATCCAATAACTATCTCTCTATCCATCCATCCATCCATCCATCCATCCATCCATC